ATTTTCCAGTATTTTGCCTTTTAATCTATATATATATATAAATATATATATAAAAATATATATATATATATATTAATATATACATATAAAAATATATATACATATATATATATATTATTATATTATATATATATTAAAACAAATTCTTAACTTAAATATAGAAAATCTAATTTCGTTGGTACAGCTACAGCTAGGTTCATACTGCTTGACCTTAACAGGAAAAAACCCCCAAATTTCTAAATGGTTCAATTCATTTTGTGTCTTAATATTTTAGAACAGAACTTGATGAAAATGTTGGGAATTATTTTTCTTAGGAGGTATATATGCACATATACCCCAATATACAAGTAATAACTTCACAACATACAAAATTAGAAAGTGTACAAAATGAGTGGAAAAATGTTTCGTTCCAAATCCTACAAAATTATTATCGATAGCAAAAAGTACATCTGAACCGTCATAAGCAAGATTATGAGTTAACCTAAAACAAAACAAGACTAATCACATTTATCAACATTAGATACATGTTGCCAACTTCACAAAGAGTATGAAATCTGGATTTCTATACAGAGTTTACAATTTTATTCGACTTGTTTTAGACACAAGGCCAAGGATATGCCAACAGGTATATCGCTTCACCAGACAAACATACACACAAATATGTTCTAGATAAACTATGTTTCATTATATGCCCAATTAACTAACTACTTGCAGTACTACAACAGTATTGTCTTCCTATGGATTTTAAAAAGAGCAAAAAGTGGAAAAAGGAAGGTGGAAATCAAGGGTGGGGAACAGGACATTGAAACCTATGATGGAGAACAAATGGGGAGTAACTGGGGGATGGGTACAGGGAGTAGAAACAGGATTTGGACTGTAGGCGGTTTTACCCATTCCCACATCATCCTTCCCCATTTTACCCTTTCCAACATCACCCTACCTCTTGTCACCCTTATGGATTAACCACTGGACATTAAGCCATGTATAGTTTTTTTCCAATTAGGTATCATTTCCTATATATTATAGAACATACAACATTTACTGGCACATAACATATATATCTTCATACATCGGTATATTTTGCAAAGACAAGACAAACCAGTCACTCCTCTCAAAAAAGATACTTAGTTATTGATACAGGGTTAAACAGTAAAGTTATAAAATGGTAAAAGAATCATTGAAATCTTTTATAAAGTTCCAACAGTTTAGACAAAAGCTGTTTAAAGAATAGTATTTGAGAAATTAGCCTCCAAAGTTTATGATTTCAGACATTTCTCAGCCAGAGACCTTCACCAAATTGTAAAAAATGTTGTTTTACAACGAAAATGGGAAAAATGACAACACAACATGATGTATAGATATGTAAAGGTTAATTAGTGCTATAAAACAGATTTAAAAAATGCTGACATTCCAGCATGGTTTGGCCACTATTTGTGAGTTGTGACTAGTTTGGCCTGTCTTCGCCACATATATTAAGAGTCTGACCTCCGATTTACAGCACTCCAAATTACAACCAATTCTTTTATTGGTGCAATGGCAACATTTTGAAGATACACAATTATATGTACAGTATACATAAACTATGAGGCACATTATGTACTATTACTTGCTTTTACCTACCTACCCAGTCCATAACATGAAGTTGGCAACATTTATTGTACAATTTGCATATACAGATAGCAACTAAAGCTATTTAAAGGCCTGTCGTATTCAACAACCAAGAACGTTTCTTTGACTGTTTTTGAAATGCTAGTACTATTCTCTAGACATTTATATTAACACAGTTCTTCTAGGCATAGTTTATAAGAATGCATTTCTTGAAACGAATGATCTTTGTCTAGGCATTTTCTTCAATCCAATTCAGCTTTGAACAATGGTGCATAGATGTCTAAACTACAAAGTTTAAGTTACAAATTTCGTCACATCATATAAAAGTGGTTTCATTTTTTTTAAAATGTAATATTTTACTCATTCAGATATAAACTAATGAATATTCATAGATAATCTATATTCATCAGCTATGAATATTCATTAAACAATGCAAGTATATTATTAGACACACATACATTTAGAACACATCATTTTAACCAAAATTATAAATTATGATTTTATAGTCAAGTTTCAATTTTCCACCAGTCATCTCATTATAAATATCAAATTGAATACATTTTGTAGAGGTCTTCTAATCAAGAAAAAAAAAAAAATGAAACGAGAAAAAGCATTCAAAAAGTTTCTTTAGACGACTTATTATTGCACTCTTTGTTGCTTCGTAAAAAAAAAAGAGTCTGGACTCAGAGTACAAAAGGTGCATTGCCAATCACCTTGAAAGCCATTCAGTAAAAATCATAAACTTACACACAACTAACTATTATTAACTAACATGGAGAAACAAGATCAGTCAACAGTTTTTTTTTCAATATACGTCTTTCAACAGAAGAAATATTTACAAACAAAATCTACATCAATTGTAACAAACTAAGCTAAATATTTAGTGGGGCAGATGTTTTCCATCTCTTTGGATGTGTGAAGTGGAGATGTGTGGATGAGTAGAGTGCGGATGTATGTGGAGATAATTTGAGATGGGGATGTCTGGGTGAGAGTATCTGGGAAGCAGATGTCTAGGATGGGGTGTGTAAGGTAAGCCTGGTGTGGGTGGGAATGTCTGGGTTGAGCAAGTGCACACCCATGACCACAGCTCCATATGCCTATGGTGCTTGATTTAAACTAACATGACATAGTTTCTCAGTTTCTGATAGAGGGCAGTCTATTACACAACAAAAATATGTGCAGTTGTAGGTGCAGCATTTTGATATCGCAAAGCAAAGCCTTAGAATTGCACATAGAAAAAAATTAATCCATGGAAAAACTTCTAAATTTGTTCCCAAAATACTTTCCACTCCTCTCAAAATTACATTTTTATTACCCCAATATGTATAGTTTTTTCATTCTCTCAGATTTTTTTTTTCTTCTTCCTCATTCCATTAAAGTTCTACACCTCCTCGCTATCAAAGTACTATCTTCTGATTTCATATAAAAGTTTATGTAGTGTATGCACACAACTAAAAGATTATTGATCCCATAAGTTTACAATTATAGAAATATAAAATTCATAATTTAAGAAATATAGTTTAATTATTATATTAATATATTATTTCAAATAATTTTCAAGGATAATTAAATCAATATTTCCTGTGTTCGACCTGATTGTTTTATTTGTGAATCTGATGTATCTGATTGGTCAAGTTGAATGGAATCCCACATATCTGATTGGTCGAGTTAATTGTCACATGTTATAGTTAACAAGTCCCTGAAATGTATTACTGTATAAATTTTCATTTCATGAAAAAATATATGAACCATTAGATATAATAATTATTGTTTAAATAAATAATAAATATAGTGATATTCATTTTTCATAGTAAATGAAAAAAAAACATTATATTAAAAAAAATAAATTATTAACATATTATGATTGCACAAAGCATATAAACTTATAAAAATTAACCACAACCAGAAAAATATCTGTATTCTATATTTAAGTTTCTATCAACACCAAATATAACAATTAAAAAGTTCCAAATGAATATATATACAAGATACATGTTCTGCTTTTACCTTTCCACATGACATTTTGAACTTGGAAAAGTTAACTTCAATCCCAGGCTTTGTCCAGTTTATCCATAACCATTTTGTCTGCTCTGCAATGTCATTGTTTTGGTACTTCTCAGAAGTAAAATTTTAATGATGCTCAATGATTCGTTTAATGTGAAGGTGGTTGAGTTGTTGAGCTGGTCCCTGCTGCTTGGTGAAATGTATTCTGGTCCAAATGTTTTGTATTCATGTCCTTAATTGCCTGTAGTATTCTTTTGATATGTCCGACTTTACTCACACCAAGATCCTGCATATGAATTGAAAAAAAAATTACAAATTAGAAGATCTAAAACTAAACCATAACAATCATTGTTAATTTCCTACACCAAGGGGTTTATGTATTCACCGCTGTTTGTCTGTCAGCAAAATCTACGGAATGGATCATCATAAAATTTAATGGAATGGTACTTAATAATTTAAGAGATGATTAACTTTTGGAAAGAAAAAGTCAAATGAAAAGGTGAAGGTCACTGAAATTTGATTTGTTTCAAAGAACTTACCAATGAGCATAAAAGAAAATAAAGGAAGTGCCTATACACGACCTGCGTATTGTTCGGTATTTTAACAAAGGGTGGAGGTATGCGCTCTATAGAGAGACTGCTCTAGTTTATACTGTGTAGGTGGTTGAGTCAGTAGCTGTAGTTTAGACACTCCACATAAGGACTGGAGGTTTATCAAATCCCAATTTGCTAATGTTCTAATAGTGCACGGCACATTTATCTAAGCTCTCTTTCTCTCCACCACTACCGCCGCCGCGACTGCTACCACTACCACCACCACCAAAGAAATGGTACGTTGTACAGTTAAAAGGTAATGATAAAACACCCTCTGCCTTAACCCTTTCCAGTTGTATGGCGTCGCGACGACGCGCTCTTTGACCATACTTTATAGCGAGGGGCGTCGTACGTACGCCCTGTATAGCCTTCATAATAATTATTTTATAGCTAGGCTACCCTCTATAGGATTTTTGAGTGTGATGTAGGAGTATTTCTGTAGAGGGCCTCCTGTATTTAGACCAAATAAAATGCCTTCGCCCAGTAAAAACCCGACATTTAGTGTAGATGATGTAATTTCCCAGCTTTGGTACAGCCTCAGGCAATGGTAATGGGGCAGACTGGAAAGGGTTAATACTCTTCAAAACCTGGGCAAAAATACGCTGCACCTTTCTTTCAGCTTACTTACGATCTCTTTCCTAAAACCATTTTGATGTTATTATCATTACAAACAGGTTCTCACAACATTATTTTTAGTTACCTTTAGATCTCGTCTTTCCAGATGGAGAAGCTCAGCTCCTCGGATGTCATGTCGGATAAAAGCATCCTTGTACTCGGAGAGCGACATACTAGTCAGCCAATTGCCAACCTCCTCAGCACTCCATTGTTGGATGCCTAAATCTGTAAGCAAAATTAACAGATTATAGTATTTTTGTAATTTTAACATTCTTGTCAGAAATCTTAAATTATTTTAACTAGAAGTAAACTTTGTATTGCTATACATATATAACTAGCAATTTTATTAGATATAGGGTGATTATATATTGTTAACTTAAATTTTCAAAATCACATATTGATATAAGAATTTAACAAAAGATACAAGATAAAAATGTCAAAAATCTTACAGGCTGGCAACATTCCAGGTTTGGTGTCCTTATTACGAGAACGATTCTTAAATCTAGCAGGCATACGGAAACGACCTTTTGACCTCTTGGAAATTGATGCTGGGTTCTAACAAGAAAAAATAAACATAAACATTTTATCTTGATAACAGTGGAGAGCTGGTGATATGGTGTTCCAAAATGCTTCAATGGAAGTATTACATTTCTACAAATTTAAGGACTAGTTCTGATGTCAAAGAATTTCCAAATCTACCTCCTCTTCTTGACTTTTAACATGAGGTTCAACTCTGGAGATGTGTCGGAGTTCGTTGTCCACGCAATTCAAAGACTTGTACACGTTGGCGATGCTCTCTTCTTGTAATTGCTGTAAAAATGGAGATTAAGAAATGTACATGGATAAAAAAATATTGTTCAAAATAACAAAAAGTTAATTTTGAATATATAATTATAATTATGTAATTACTCTCAGCATCCTCATTATCAATCATTATCATCATCAATAATAATCATTCTCATCACTTATTTAATGATGTTTTGTTTTCAATGCTTTCCAGTTTTCACCTGTAAATATTTCAATGCATTCTTTTAAACTTTAAAACGGCCTTGTTAAAAAACACCTGCACAGGTGATCAAGCTTTCTGTTTCAAATTAGATATTACTGGTTCCTATGCTGTAAAGCAAAGGAACCTTTGCGGTCATCCATATGTGTCCGTGAAATTCATTGAAAGTTTGTAAACAAGCTAACTTGAATTTTTAAACACCTGTTTTGTTATGAATTGCTGAATACATGTAGTGTTGGTCATGTAATTGTGCTCATAGTAATCATCCTTACCATTTGTCTATGCTCTCAATATGAAGTATTTATCAATTTATACAATATTTGTTATCTTTATTACACTGAAATGTTACTCACCAATGAGTAAGCTTTTCTAGCCAAGAAGATGCTAGTTTCATTGTGCAGCAATTTCACACTATTTACAAGATCAATGACACTTCTTCTACTTGGTCCCTAAATGAAAATGAACAAAATATATTGGTTATCACAGGATTTGTATAATATACTAGATTCACTAATAGAAAGTACCAATTAATCTAGTTATACCTCCACCAAAGGAGGTTATATATTCACCACTGTCTGTCTGTCAGCAAGATTATGCAAAACCTAAAGGCCTGGATCATCATAAAATTTTGTTGAATTGTACACCTCTACATCTAAGAGAGATATGATTAAATGTTGGGAAGAGAAGGTCAAAGGACAAGGTCAAGTACATTCAATTACAAAGGAATTGCCCATCATACACGACCTGCATATTGTTCGGTATTCAGGCACAAGGCAGAGGTACCCACTCTATGGAGCAACTGCTCTAGTTAAATATTGGATTGTGCTGAAATACAATGAATTTAAACAGGGATTTTAGGCGTTTCATCCTACAGGGCGCACACACATATTTATCCGACTAACGTATTAGTATTAAATAACATTTATATTGTTAATAATTATTAACAATGAATAAATATTAATAATAATATTAATAATAATAATAATAATAATAATGATAATATGAATACATAATACATAATAGAAAAATAATTTTAAAAAATGACAACAATTTGTAGTAATAATAATTTTCTTTAAAAACCTCTAGATCACTTACCTCTAATAATTTTCCTGATGGGTAGAGTTTGTCGAGTGCTGCTGATGCTGAGTTTACAAACCCCATTAGCTCATCATCAATACTTGCATGACTCATACACAGAACCTGAACACTATATTGAAGCAAAAATGTTCAATTATACTATTAATACATTACAATCAATTGTAATCATTTTCATAATAATCATCGTCCTAGTTGCCAAAATCATTTTGTTTTTTTACCTCTTTTTATCATTGCTTTCATTTTCTTGTACATTAATTTAATATAATATTTATCAAATCTTGATCTTTTGGCAGACTAGGACGTCAATTATAAAAGAGCTTACCAGAATAAAGAATGAGTATTGTTCGCTAAAGGAGCTCTAGTTTGGAGCTTCTGTGAGTTAGGTGCAGCAGACCTCATTTCTGGGCCTCCGAGTGATGGCAAACATAGCAATCATGCTGACTTTTTTGCTTTTTGCTTTTAGTTGGCACTTATTCTTGTTCCTTTTATTCTTCAAATATTTTAAAGTTTAGTCTCTAATTTTTACCAGCAACTCATTTCTTTTATATACTTTCTACAATTTTATATGTATCATCTTCTTGATAATTTCTTTGAAATGGAGACAAGAACTATACAGAACTTATTTATTGTTATAAATTATCACCATCATTAGCACATTCTATCAACATGAGTGACCATCATAGGACACTAACCTTCGAATGAGACCAGCTGACATTTCACAGAACTGCTTCACGTTGCCCATCTCAAAGTCCTGCAGCTGCTGCTCCAACCGCTGCTTGTCAGTCCAAGATTTCAATGTACTTTCAAAAACCTGGAAAAAAAAAAAACTTTTTTAAAAATAAAAATCTACTTGTTATAAGAATCTAATGTTTTAAAATGGTATAAGATGCAGTGATGAAATTCATCATGATTGAGTTCCAAACTAGTATATCAAACATTAGTTAATTCATATTTGTGCAACGGCTGTTAGCTTTGCAGATTGCCTGAAGTAAAAACATTTTTTTTCCCAACATTTTATATCTACAGTACTTAGATCTACTAGTTTTACTAGTTTCCAATGGAAAGTATTTTAACAGACACATGATGTGTTCCACAAACGCATGTGTTTGCGTATGTTTTTGTGGGCCCTTAGCAACAATATCCAAGGGGCGGGGCTTAGTGGACGGTCCAATAAAATTTGGTGCTGGAGGCAAAAATGTTCATAGTTGGAGGCAACAAATTTCTGACCCTATGCACTAACCTTATCTCTGACCAGCATATGAGCTCGGTTCTTGTGGATAATCTTCATGTAGCCAGGACTCTGCATCCACGCCTCACCGTCAACTTGGACCGGGACAGGCTCATCGCCAAGGATCGTCACCTTAACAACACGGCATTGAGCTATGCGGTGATGCTGCAAAGTTATGAGTTTGGACACGGCCATCTGCATCCCGCCAAAGACAGCAACTACCTCCAAGATTCGGTCATCAAATGATGGTGCTGCAAATGTCTAATGGGGAAAAAACAGTCTTTTCTTCAGTGATGTCATCACCACCATCATCTTACACCCCTTCATTTTCTATTACTATCATCAAAGAGTAGAGAATTGCAAGAGGTTTGATCTTCCTTATTTTGCATGCATGTAACAAAACGAAAAAAAAAAACAGTACAACCACAAGATAGGAGATGCCTTATTAGAGTTTGAAACTCCAAAATGCATTCTATAGATGCAGCACGCAATCGATATGAATATCTTTTACGTTCTTTGGAAGGGTGGTGCTTCTGGTAGTACTTTTCGAGATAGAATTCCATTTCAAGAAAACCTACACAGTCAGTTCTATACTCTTTGCTATCATCTACACTATCATCATAAATACATGTTTGTCAAATTCACCTGTTAGCTGTACTGTATAATTAATTATTTTCAATGTTGTCTTATCAAGGGCACTTAAGCATTTGATCAGTATTGAGAGACTCAAAGAAGACTTTATGCACAAATTGTTGATGAATTCTAGTAAAATAAATAAGAAATCAAACAAGATAAATATTCACCTCATCCTCTTTACTGCCTCCCCAAAAGTTAGCCCCGCCCATGTAGCTAGGTATGTTGAGGACCACAATGCCTTGCAGGCTGGGTAGAGGAATCCTGTATCCGTCACATTCTAATTGTACCTTTTGCTCCAGGTTACGATATGTCCGATGAAGCAGTTCCTTGCCACCTAGCATCCCATACCACATCATATTTTTGGTTCTACTCCTGAAAATGATATCGAAAGCATAAAGCAGAGTGGATCTGTAGCTTAGTGGTTGATATGTTTGCTCTCAAAATCCCAGGATTCTGGGTTCATACTCAGTAACTGCAGAGTTTTTGTAATAACTAAAACTGCCCTAGTTCAAGTCTCAGCACCATCAAATTGCTTTTCATCAAATGTGTTTTTACTTCATATTTTTTTTAAAGATTTTATAATTTCATAATTTCAACATCAGTTCTCATTTAATCAGGCAAAGCAGTATGTTCTGTTTTACAGACATAGTAAAATCTTGTTGAATATTTTATTGTCTCTAAAAAAATTCCATGAATAGTACGTATTCACTTACTTGCATTTTTCCGGATGCTCTTCTCTCCGGGTGTGGAAATCCAGAGCAATCTTTGCATCAAGGCCAATGCCGAAGTAGTTATTCATTACACATTTCTCGGTATACCCAATTCTGTAAAATACATTGAAATATACATATTTTATACAATACATCATAAGCAGCCTTCGAGATTCTTTTGTTACTGTATAAAAAAAAATTTCTTCCACACTTGGTGGTGTTACTTAGTGTTGTATAGAATTACCGAGTTGCAGAATAAATGGTTGGGGTGGGGGGCTGACGTTATGGTCCTCCCATTTTAGCTGTTGAAATTAGTAATTTCTTTTCTAAGAAAACAGATTTTATAAAAACTTTTTTTAATCATATCAGTGACTAATGGGAGTATTTCTCTATACCATGCAATTTAACTCTTTTAATTCACCATACAGTACCGTATGTCCAAATGCCATTAAAAATTATGTTTAACATTAATTCTCATTGATTCTATAGTATACAAGGAGTATTTGGTTTGTTACACTAAAATTAATGAAAAACACATACAGCACTTTTAAGCTGAATTACAGTTTATATTTCAATATTTATCTTTTGATTTTTATCTTTCTGAAGAATTTAATATTGTATGTATTGTGTTTTGCTTGTAATTAAAGGGCCTCCACTCGACAGTGATTGATTTTACTTTTGGAGTGTCCTGTCTCTGTTTTTTGTACTTTTGTGATTGTTCTTTGCTGTTTCTGTTTATGTACATTTTAATTGTTTGAGACAAATAAATGAAATGAAATGAAACTGGATTAAGACACACATTTTGAAAATTCATCACTGTCATAAGGACACTAATTTTTTTTTCTCCATGGGATTAAGCATTTGTTTGCCACTTACAATTTAATAATATATAATTTAATATTTAATTATACTTATTTGAGTTATAAATAAATAAATTGAGCAAACTAAAAGAGTTTTTAGATTATTGTTATTGTTACTGTTGCATGCACTTGTGTTTAGTCATGCTGAGAGGTAACTTCTATATTCTCATTGTATTTTTCTAATTGTTTTAACAAGATTTTAAAATGTAGACAAAAACTAAGTATAGTATAGTATTGTTTTATTTACACTACATTAAGAAACAGAAGGCCAACATTTGTTGGTCAATTTATTAACATCATCCAACAGATGCTAATCGTGCAACATGCACAAACAAGGAGTAAAGTGTAAATAAAGAATAGAAAATTGCAAATGATACATTCACAAATGATAATAAAAAAGGTACTGGAAAAGAAGGGGTTTTCCTGGGGCACAAACCTGTCTTCTAAGTTCTGGGCAGCAGGGGGGAAAAGTCCAAGGGCAGCATTGCGTAAACCAAACCTAAAGAAAATGAGAAGTAGAGAAACGCAAAAAGATACAAAAGGATGTATATAAAAAAAGTGTGGAAAAATTTATAGAAAAAATATAAGGATAGAGAAGTGGATAAAAAAAAATGTGCTGATTATGAATTAAAATGATAATAAACAATATATGAAATAGGTACATATGGCCTAAAAAAATAGATTGTTTGTTTGCCCTTCTTGTTTTTTAAATGATAAAAAGGTGCGAGTGGAAAAGTTTTCTTTTTTGTTTTTTAAGATTACTCATGAGATAGAATAAAAATAATACACAGTTGAAATTTTGCAATGAATGTACAGTAGGTCCAGAATGGCAATATCTTACATCAGACAACAACTTTAGACAACTTTGTAGGGCATCTGGCAAAAAATAAAGATCAATTCGCTTTCATTTTTTTAAATTTGTAAAGAAAAAAAGCTAAAAAAAAAAAATTTTTTTTTGTTTTTGTTTCGCGGAACCTATTTTTTTTAGTTAGTTAGGGGCAAGTGAGAAGGGCAAACAACTTTTTTTGCCTAATATATGTAAAAATTAAAAAATATTTTATATATGTGAACATAAATACAAGTCTCCCTAAAATCAAAAACCACTACTGGGACCAAGGTTTCCATGACCTCTAATATCTAATTAGAGTGATAAAGATAAAAAACATTTGTTAATATGGGACCACAGAAAAGTGGTCATTAATTGGAAGGGTCTTTAATTGGAGGTCTTTAAATAGAGGGGTGTTTAATTAGATGGAGACCTGTATTCATCATTAATGATGATCTGAGATAAAGTTTATAAATAAAGGTCAAGAAAGTTATTTACATCCAGAGGAAACAGCAAAAGGGAAAAAACCCCTAATTTTTGCTGATTATATGACTTACTTTGAAAATCCCGAAATTGATGACTAGACAAATTAATGCTCTATGCAAAACCATATAGGAATGACATTATTTATGCATTGGCGCATCAAGCGTATATTTTCAAAGCCGATGGAATCTTTGGCGCCTTAAGAAAGGATTTTGGAGGATTCAACGTATTATAGTTGGCACTTGTATTATTCTCAATGGATTCATTTAGAAAAACAGTTTTGCAAAAAGTTCTATGGTTACAGATAAAAAGATACAAAGATACAAGATCCATTTATAAAATGCCATTAAATTTATATTCCGAGGTACATGTGCATTGCAGAACATTACAGTATTATAATAACACTTTATATAATCATTTAAAATTTAATTTAAAACACACACAACAGCTTTTCTTTGAGGAAATGTTTTCTTTCAAGTCCCTGCTAAACACACATTTTTTTTTCCTAAAAAGATTCATTTGTTTTATTATTTCTTTTATTGATCTTTCTTGCAATCATAATTTTTTACATGGTGTGCCTGCAGGTCATCTTTGGGCCACTATCTTGGTCTCAGCCTCTGAGGTCTGTCGCAGGGCAAATGTGAAACCTGCTCTTTTGTTTGTGCCACCTAAGTAGATCAGGGATTGCACCAGAGCACAGGTGGATGGTTGACCCTATGAGACCGTGCACTGCCTTCCACCACACCTTTTTTCTCTTTATTTACATACTTTATTTTAAATCCTCTTTAGTTGATGTAAAGGGTTTGACCGCGACATATATGAGTGCTGTATAACACATTGTGCGAGTATACTCAACTGAGGTTATGCACAGTAATGGAAGATGATGACGAATAGAGGCATTCATGCTATATGCACTATATAAATGTAAATTATTATTATTATCAATGTGTAAATGACTCCTAAGAGCCAACATTAAAATGGGATGAATATTAAAACACAAAAGAATTGGTGTTGAAATGTGACAATGTTAAAATGAAAAGTTGTAATTATTAATGGAAAAAAGTGATACTATGATTTTAGAGGCTACACTGTTTTTCTGTATTCTTAAAATAAATCCAGCTTGTCTTTCCAATTTTGATAATGATGGACTATAATTCAGCGAAGGTTATGTTTAATGAAGACAGTAGAATGTAAACTTGTGCTGATTTCAGGTTGTGCAATAATTACCGCTTTAGAATATTTCTGTTTCTATTTTCCAAATGTATATAAATTATAGACTAGTTCCAGTGGAGGTTATGTTTATTAACAATGACAGATGATAAAATGCCTTATTTACTTGAGAAATCTTTTAATAACTCTTTAAATATTTTCTTAATTTTGACAATGACGGACTGGATTCTATAGAGATTATGTTTAATAGAGATACCAGAAAGTAAATGTACACAGATTGCAGCTTGTGCAAAGAGTTACCACTTTAGAATTCTTTAAATAAATATATGGCCACAATGCATATAATTATGTTAATGATAATGGCATATGAACTGAATTGCAAAGAACTAATATAATAATTTTGAAAATTATGATAATGGCATGTGGACTACATGTGAAAGTTAATATCTGATCATAATGCATTGGAGAGCATTATTTTCTTAATTTTGATGATGACAAACCTGTTTCTGTAAAGGTTACAGTTATGTTTAAATGAAAATGGCAGAAGATAGACTTACACAGATTCCAGGTTGTGGTCCATTAGTGGGGATACAGCTGCACACAGTGCATCAGCGTTTGCTAACAACACTTTGCTGACTAACCCACCACAAAGAGCATTGCTACCAAGGCCTGCTTATACAATAACAATATAAATACATAAAATTAAAAATATGTATACAACACAAATACGAAAAATAATAATTGTTTTATAAATTACAAATCCATTAAGAACACTAATAAAAAACTAACTTTAACAGTGTTAGTTTGTGGTGTGAGTGCTGTTATGTATATTCATATGAAATGTGAATAATGCAACGTAAAACTCATTAAAATGTAAAAACCCTGAAACTCTCTATACTATGATTAGATGATTCATGGTAGATGTATTAATAACTTATTGATGGCTTACTTTTGCTTAGCATTGGATTGCTTCTGCCAAGTGTTGGCCCAAACAGAGTATCAAGACCTGAAAGACAAAAACAAATTCAAATTTATACCTACCAAAACAGAACTAAAGGACAATCTGATTGATACATACAGTACCAAGTACGGTCATACCTACCCAAAAACCAGAAAATAGAGATAATTTTATTGGACATTCAACATATTTTAATATATCTAATATGGCAAGATCTACCTTAGCAAAAGAAACAGTGAGTTTCATTGGTCATAAGCAGTGGCATATCCAAGGGGGGGGGGGCACCCCCCCCCCCAGTCGCTCGCTTGCGGCCCCCCACCCCCAGTCGCTCCCCATTCGAAAACTTCGAAGCAAAAAAAAATTAGGCTAGGCTTATGCTCAAGAAAATGGGTTAATGCTTTCTCAACTTCCCTATATTGACGTTCATCAAAACACCATATTATGTATTTATTCGTCCTTCATTTGACAGCAACTAATAATAAAAATAATAATAATAATCAATATTTATAAAAATGGTCGCTAAAATGGTCGCTGTCACACATAATAAAAGACACACACATAAATTATTCTAAAACTGTTGGTATGATTCGATGCCTCTAAAGGTCTAGCATAGTAATTTTCCTGGTGCATGCAGAATTGTTGATGTAAGCCTATTTAAAATAAAACTATTTATTGTTAAAACAATCCGGTAATTTTAATTAAGGGAAGAAATCGTAATCGACAATAAAAGTTTCGTTTTGTTTATTATGGTATTATCTCACTTCTTAAATACTGCGTTCAAGAGATGTACTTTAACATATCTGTCAGGTTAACGTGTATTCAGGAATCTAAGAAGCAATATTTTTCAGTGGGCATGGCCACCGAAAATAAATTCCACGCCCCCTCATATTTTGGTCGCGCCCCCCCCCCATTTTAATACTGCTAGATACGCCACTGGTCATTAGTAATGTGGTTACACCCACCTAAGATGAAGACTCAATGAATTTTATTTTTATTCAGCATTTTCTAAAATGAAAATCTCCTATTAATACTAATCATTATCATCATAATCACCATCGTCATCATTAGTAGGCCTTACACTAAAATAAATACCTTTATAGAAAGTTAAACAAACACGATCAATTACATACATAAGTAATAATACATGTTACCTTATATATTTTTAAATAATATGAAAAATAATGTTCAACAATAGTAATAGGAACATACAATATGTATATTATAACCATAGTAATGATAAGGAAGCCACTATAAAAATGTCACTATAATATAACACATAAATATAATATTAAAGAAAATAACAAAGCAATAATAATTATGATAATAGAGACATTGATAAAAATTATAATGATAATAATGATGATAATGGTATTAGTAAATGATGATGATTATACCAATACTAACATTTTTTGAAGCAATATTATAATAATAATGAAATCATAAAAAAACTATATATTATTATAATATACACATTAGCCAGTATAAGACAAAGTGGTAAATACTTTATAATAGCAGAATAGCAGACATCACCAGTACAAGAGAAAAAAATTTGTTAGTGTACAACAGCATACAACCATAAAAATGATGATACACTTCCACAATACAACAAATATACTGGATAACAACAATCGTTATCAGTGTGGGAAGGTCACAACAGTATAAAAAAAAAAAAAAAATTAAAAAAAAAATTACACCCGATCGTCCTCCACACAACAAGGTGGAACGTCAAACAGAGGGCGCCACAGGTTCAGGTTTTGAATGTCACCGGCATGCTATTTATAACAAAGTCTATGAGATTGAAAAATGAAATGAAGCACTCGCATTTAAATAATTATTTCTACAAACTTGTGAAAATAGCAGAATAGCAGACATCACCAGTACAAGAGAAAAAAATTTGTTAGTGTACAACAGCATACAACCATAAAAATGATGATACACTTCCACAATACAACAAATATACTGGATAACAACAATCGTTATCAGTGTGGGAAGGTCACAACAGTATAAAAAAAAAAAAAAAAAAAAAAAAATTACACCCGATCGTCCTCCACACAACAAGGTGGAACGTCAAACAGAGGGCGCCACAGGTTCAGGTTTTGAATGTCACCGGCATGCTATTTATAACAAAGTCTATGAGATTGAAAAATGAAATGAAGCACTCGCATTTAAATAATTATTTCTACAAACTTGTGAACCAGAATATTTGGATTAATTATGTAAATGATATGCAAATATTCTGTGAATAAGGTGGGGGTAATGTTACAGAGCATGCAGAGGGCGGAACCAGCATGTATCACTACAGCATCATCTTACATCTGTTTGCTGCCCCCGCCTCCTGTCGCGCAGTTGAGCGATGAGAATCAAAAACAAATGGTAAAATTAGATATATACTTATAATATATTCAGTAAAAAGTTTTTTTTTAGCAGTGAATGCTTATAAGCCTCATTTTATTTTCACTCCAGGAAAAAAAAAACATACTTATACCTATGACCCATAATGGACACAAAAAATAATAAAAGTTAAAAAGAAAGTTACGGGGCCTGACCAAAGTAATGTAGGAGAGAGTGACAATTTAATCATTTTAAATGGGATTTACAGTTGAGGGAAACTTTAAAAATAAAAAAAATAAAATAAAAAACTTTAACAATTAAAACATTCATATTAAATATAAAAAAAAATGTTACAGAGATATATACAGCATAACATCAAGTAAAATAGTTTCAACTTTTAAAAACAAGGTGTTAAAAAACCATTAAGGACTGGAGTGTTAAGGTGAGTTGAGAAACATCATGCTACTACAAAGTTCAAAGGTCACACTGAGGAAAAACAGTTATATATATAACAATCAGGTGATTGTAGCCAATTGGAAGAAGGAAAGACAGACATGTGACGAAATATATAAACCAGGATGCCATTTAATTTAGTAAGGTTGATCACTGACAGTGGGACATGCCGACCAAAAAAAGGCTCCACGGACAACACCGAACTTGCCTGGAAGGAGCTCAAGATTGTCCATGCTTCCAAATCGTTGGGCAATGTTGACGGGGGCGGTAACGGATGTAGCGAAGGTGCTGCCTTGGCTAACGCGTCTCATTGGGCATGATTGCTGATAGGGCTTCAAGGAGAAATCCTTTTCTAAAGAAGAAAGAAACATGCGGTCGAGAGTAAAACCACCAACCCAGACACATTCCTACTTGTAATAATAAAATAATTCTGTACCATTTTAATAAAACCCATATATATTTAGAAAAATTGTAATAGTTTATAAATGACTTTTTAAAAAACATTCTGCTTTAATTAAAGAAACAAAACAAGGCTAATGACATATATGATATAAAGTATTTAGTTAGTTTTAAGGTACTGTTCTGCTATATTTGCCTATTGTATTACAGATACAGGTAGAGTTTTACTACTTCTTTTAATGAGACGATTTTCAATAATGCTTGATCATCTTCTACAATACATAAATGATAAAAAAATACAAAAAATATGTACTACTTATTTATTAAATATTTACAGTACTTGTTTTTACATAATCTCTTCACTCATTAGCTCTGTTGACCTAATATATATGACACTGTTCACAAATCAACTAAAAAAATTAAATCAATTAATCAATCAATCAATCAAACAGCAAATGGATCCATCAAATAATAAATGGATTAACTAATCTAAAAAATTAATTAGACAATACATGAATCCTTCAACTAATTAAGCAGCCTAAAGTTTGGTCTACACTATTAAATTCAATTTGACAAATACCCGATTGAAATCATCACATATGACCAATTCACAAATATTTGTTAAATAGAACTTGATAGTGAGATAGAGCTTAACTAATAATCACTAAATTATTTGTTTTTGGTGCATAGCGGATATTCAATTTTAATCCGATTTTAACCTGGAGGTCGCGGTTTAATTGCCACTATGGACACTTCTAAGTGTCCTTGGTGAATGCACTTTATTCATGTTATCTCTCTTCACCCAGGAGTATCAGTGTGTATCTGGCAGGTTTTAATGTCATTGAACTGATCCATAGGTGCAACGTACTAGAATATACCCCTGAGGCATGTGGAATACTCCCACCGAGGGGATGTGTTCCATAAGTATTTGTTCCTATGACCGTGACAATAATGTGAAGGGCAAACAGAACTTACCACTATGCTGTACATCATACTGACATAATAATAATAAAATAATAATAATATATGAACAAAAATAACCAATGCTATCAATTATCTAAAACATAATTAATGCTTATCTCACCTTTTTTTCGTTCTCGAGCTTTTGACGTATACACAGAAAAGCGTTTCATATGCGTCTCTAACTTGCCTGTTTCCTTATCCTCTTCCAATATTTCCTTTTCAGTGCTTGCATCATCCTTTTCTTTAATATCTTCAAAATGTGATGATGCTGAAGTTGAGGGCAGCATACCATGAACTCTTCGCGTTCTCTCCTCCTGCACTTTAGTCTGTTCATTTTGTTCATCCACAGCTGGTGAGAATTCAAAAGAATGTTTGTGAAAAATCTAAGAACATTATTAATCTGTTTTCTCAAACATAATCTTGTCAAATGCGTTTCTACAAGACCATGATGACGTGCCATGACATTGATGTTGTATGATGGATTGTTTCCGATGATGATCAACTCAAACTACCACCGACGGTCATCAGGCTAGCAATGCGTTAAGCGATTAAACTCACAGCAGTTGCACAGCAGTCACCCAAGGTTCGGCTGACATAGTGTGACAACAATTATCATATTAGTATTATACACACTTTCGGGAAGAGAGATGAAATAGGCAGGGGCAGGCAGGTGTTGCTAGGCAAAACAACGTAACTTAAAATCATATAAGAGTTACATTGTTTTGCTATGGGACGGCAGAGAAAAAATATTTTTTTACTCTTAAAAGTTATGGAAACATGGATGACATTTTCTTCTTTACTTACAATTGGCAATAAATGCTGAATATGAAAGAAAAAACAGAAGCAACTAGCATAGGCCTACTGTACCTTTTTCTGTTTGTTCTATTATTTGTCTGACAGCCTTCTTTAGGCTATTCGCTCTTGACATCAGTGCATCTCTTGGTTTGAACACCTTCGTTGCCGGTCCCTGCATTCTCTCCAGCTTGTCGTTGCCCTCTGCACCCTCCACATCCCCATCATGGCTTGCCTCTACCACCGGGACCGGCATTCCGGGTGGAACTGGGGTTGCCTGGGCCTCTTCGTTTAAAGTTTGAAGCAGTGAGTTCAATTTCAGTTGCAAAGTTGCACACTGTTGGAGTCAGGAAAAAAATAAATCATTTAACAAGATATAGATGGATAGATTATATAATTGAGGTTGGCGTTTAAAGTGCTTTCCTATCAATTCCAAGGTCAATGGTTAAATCCTTAAGCCTCCTAATGAGACAAAACACTGTTTTCCATTAAAATCGCTATGTTATCATTCACTACAATCATTACACTTAGTAGCTGTCCCAGAAAAAAATGGGAAAACTCCCAAATTTGACCAACCAATCAGCACCGATAAAACCTTGTTTGCAATAACCTGTAGCAATTTTATGTAATCCAGACTTTATAGAGAGCAACAGATTAAGATCTTGTACTAGTAACATAAAAAATTTAAAACAAAGCAGATGCAATTACTCTTTGTAGCACTGAATGAACAATGAACTGTTGATGTTACAACATATACAAAGATTTGCCAATGGTGTGTCTGAGATTGATTAGGGACAGGTGCTTTGCAGCAAGTCCGATGATTGATGTCAAGAACAAGACTACATACTTATGTACAATAAATTTATAGTAAAACAAAAAAAAGTATACTAATTAAAAATCAACATGAAAATATTAATACCAATAACTACAGTCATATGAATAAAATAAAAAACAATAACGACAAAAATATATTCCATAAATACAATACAATTATAAGGATTTTCTGTTTTCTTTTTATTTAGACTATCACCTAACCACTATCTGAGTAGATCCTGTGTTGTTATTTTTGATAAAGCTTGGTTATTTTTCAAATAACATAAGGTGATCTAATGACAGCCGACCGCACACAAAATCAGAGTTAATCGTATTGCACGTAACACTATTGAAAACTATGTACTACAGTTTTGTCCAAACATATTATTCAAAAGAGTAGATAGAAAGCTTTTTTCCTTTGTCAAATAGGGTTTGCAGGACAATCGTGGAAACAAAAATTCCCAAATTTTTGTTATTTCTAACAAAAGTTTTTTTTAAACACCATTTAGAGAGTGTTTAAATGTTGACAAAAAAAATGCAGGGCAAAAAGTGTATTGGATTTTAATAGTAATTAATTTAGACAACATACTAGTTGTTGATATTAATTATTAAATTAGTAAATGACCTCTTACCTTGTCCTTCATGGTATCCGTGCCACCGGACTGTGTCCCTGAATCGTAAGATTCTCCAATCTTCTCTAGAAAGTCTTTTACTGTCTTGCATAATACTCTGACGAAGAAATAAAAAGAACATCACTGTCGCATAAGATAAATGATTATTGAGGCGAGATAGAAACCAAGTCAGTTATATCTCTTTCATTGATCTCTTGGGCCCCTACTTGGTATTTATCAAATCTCTTTATACTATAAAAAAAAAAATTGTATTCACTTATAATGTCCATTTCAGGTGAATACCCTGAATTGAATCAAGTATGGGAAAATTCTTTGAAACTAGAATAATAATTTTATAATGTATTCTTTTGATATTGCATTTTTTTTAGCCTGAATGAACTCAAGAATGGGAAATTTCTTTGAAACCTAACTGAATACAAAATGAATAATTTTTAAAGTATTCTTTTGTTGCATTTTCATTAATGTTTTATCAATTTTACTTTTTAAATTTGCATTCTATATTGTAAGCACTATTAAAATTTGACAAAAAAATTGTTGTATGCCCTTATATAGTCATGATGTGTCTATATATGGTGATGTCATCATGACCATATTTAGGCATATCACATGGTTCTTTGATAGTCTGCACAGGGCTTTAGTCTATAATTTTATCAATTGAACTGGAGCTTAGATCAATTGTGTTGGGCTTTCCCTATGTATACTCTTCCCTAGTTATTTCATCCATTGTACGTTTGTTTCACTTGTGTCAAATTGATATTAAATGAACTATAATCATCGATGACAGAATTCTCAATTTAAAACCAATAAATAACCAGAACCCTGTGGGTGTGTACGCTTCTTTGTAGGCAAAAAAAAAAAAAATGCAAATTTGGGAATTGCGTTAATAAATGATAATTAAAAATAATAAAATTAATAAATACAATAAATAATATTTACTTTGCAGATGAGATCACTTCGGAATTCTTCTCCGATTGTAGAATTTTTGCGAGGTGGAGTGCCACCGAGTCTTCATACGCTGTCATGTTCTCTGTCCTCTCATTTTGTTCCTCTACGTTTTCATTTGCTACCGAGTTATCGGTTTCATTCACCCATATGCTCCATCTAAGATATAATTAAAAACATGATAGTGATAACAATGTCAAAAAATATCATGTAGAACAATTTGCCCACAGAAATTTAAAAATCATGTTCCATTAAAATTATGAAAAAAATCCCATGACACATAATTTGTACTTTAATTTTGCTTTTTTTCTCTTATATTAGTAAGTGCCATGAACCTTATATGAATATTGCATTAGTTAATATTAACAAAAAAAGAATGACAAAGATGATAATAATAATAAAAAATTGATAAAAGTAACAATAATTGCTATTGGATGACAAATTCAGTTATTAACTTAAAATCCATTAACAATAACAACAGCAGCGAACAACAGCAATAACAGTAAAAAAAATAAATAATAGTGTTTAGTACCTGTCCAACATTTTGGTACCTGAGTGCTCAAGTTTCTCCAACATCGCTGGTAAAAGAGTGTCATCATCACAGTTGGTACCCCAACCAAGGACACGAGCCAGATCATTCCCTGTACCCAGAGGTAGAACGCCAATTTGGCACTGGAGGAGGAACAGAATACCACATGCCATCAGTGGTACATTAATGAACAAAAAGGCAAGACTTTTTTTATACCTTGTTTACCCACCGACTGCAAATATTGATGATTTCGAATGAAAATAAAATATTATTTTTGGCCATTTAGCGCACCCGCCACCACGAAAAAATTGGAAATTTCAGAAAAAAAAAAGTTTTTCTTTTATTACTCCCTCCGCTGCCTTGAAATCTCCAAAGATAAGATATGTATATTTCTTCCTAATTATTTAAATTTGAAGCATTTAACCATCTTATTTTACATTCAATAATAAAATTTTATTTCTATTTTCTCCTCCGTCTGGATGATTTTGGCAAAAATATTTGCTAAACAAGAAAACAAAATATTTATTTTTTTTATTCTCATTCCGCCCTCCTCCGATAATCTTTAAAAAATTAAGTACGCAAAACAAGGGGAAAAAAAGTCTTGCCTAATCTAATTTGTATTTTATGATATAGAAAAACACTTTGTCCAGATCAGGATCAGGGAATGAGGGCAATCTCTTCAGGCAATTTAGAAATTTGAAGGGGGTTGGATTTCAGAGTTTCATATTCAGAAACAATTTACATAGAATTTTTTTTCTCCTCCACCATGGAGTGTGTTAATATCCCCAATTTAAACAATATATATTTTCTATAATTTACTCTAATGAACTAGAGAAGGATATGGTGAGATAAACAGCTAAAGTAATAAGTGAACTTGGTGTATCCATTCATTTTCATTTTGTTTACAATGGCAAAATCTTACAACTGACAATCAGTCAATCAATCTATCAATTAATCAAATACAATCCAATCCTCAATTCATCCATCTTACAATGCTCATTAATCAATAAATTTCTTGAGAAAAACAACTGATTAAAGTGGCATCCAAAGAAGTTGACATCAAAACAACATCTAAAGCCTGTATTAATCCAATCACCCTGATCAAAATATAAACATACTGTGCTATCCTTTCTTGATTGGCTGTAAGATAGTGATCTTTAATATCTATATATCGCTTATTGTTAAATGTACAGTGTGCAAAGTAAATCCCCCTTTAAAATACATTATCAGAGTCGGCCCGATGTGAAGGAGCATTTATGTCTTTATTACGCGTGATTACGCATGCACGTGCTCTAAGTGAGTGCTATTCAATTACCGATAATGAATCCATCAGCACGCACGATGTGTGCTGTTGACTCGATAAGTAAAGATTCTCACCTGTTTGTGGAGGTCCATCTTGTCAATCTGTGTTAGCACCCAACCAACACTGCCGTCACCGCCACATACTAAGATTCGGAATGTGTCAAACTTTTTGAATAGACGAAGCCTGAGATAAAAAAAAAGTGGAGTGAAATTGAATAGCTGATGGTTAAGATACGCACCTTCCAATCAAAGGGTCATGGGTTCAATCCCGTCGGTGTAGCAGGAATTTTTTTCTCACAACCAAAACAACTCCACTCGCTAAGCCTCGTATTGCGATTTAGTTTGTGTGAAGCGTCGCGTGTGTATGTTTGTCTTGTGAAAGGGATTTTCAATTACAAGTACGATAGTGATATTATTCGCTATTGACAAATCCTTGGTGCATGTGTTGTGTGCCTATAATAAATACAATAAAAAATAAAATAAAATAAAAATACATAAAACAACAGGATTGAAATATACATTTCATTCTGAGACTAGCCAAGAATCTAGATCAAGAAACTAGTTAACAATAGAAAGGTTCTGTGACTCAGTTTAGTGATTCTCATCAGACATATCGTGAGTATTTAATGTACACACTAACGCAGAATACCATTAAAATGTCAGAGAATTTTGTTCTGTAATCTTTGGAAGAATTTCCTCAAATGGTTGATGGACGACGGAAACTGGTCAATGATCGTACAGAATTTAACATATATGAACCATTAACTAATGTCACATTCACAAGAACGATTGCATTTATTCTGATGAACGTCAGTAACAACACAGAATAATTATGAGTCATGTAATACGCTGCTGTTTCAACACAACGTTTACATTCAATACTCAAATTCAATAGCACAAAAACAGTCTACTAAATAAACATTAAAAAAAAAACATACCTCGACAAGTATGTGAATGGTTTCATTAAAATCTAAATTTTCTGGGAAAGCTAGGGATTTTTTAAATATAATCCTGGAGGATGTTCAATAATCTTGAGGGGTGTTACACTTAATTCCAAAGAATAATTGTTAATCCCACATATGTAGACAAATTTGAGCTTTATGCCAGAATCAGTTACTCTTTATCCACACTTTCTAGGAATTTTAATACAAGATCAATCATTTTCTTGGTTAAAGGTTTGTGTATTTAATTTTCCTGACTTAACAATACACAGTCTACAACAGGATGACTTTCGGTATTGGATTTAATTAGTTTTTGCAAAAGTTGTAATGAATTCATATTCTTAACTCTTTTTTTTTTAATATTGAGAAAAAAATGTTTTTTTTTGTTTTTTGGTTGGTATATTTACAGTGTTCAAACCACAAAAGCCAATGTTGAATGTAAGAGACAAAAATTAATTAATTAGCATTAAAAGTCCAAATATAAAAAGACATAAAATATACAACATCCAGGGAAACAAATACGAATTAACAAAAATAAACAAATGAACATAAGCAATTCCTGAGTTCAACAGGACATTTTATAGTTACCAGTATTTTGTCTAACCTAACAAAACTGAGTATAGCACAGTGCTTGTGATTTGAGGCGAGTGATTGCTCTCGCACGCCATCACTCACCTAAATTCCTCTTCAGGGGAGTGAAAAAAAGATCTCCTTGGGTTTGAAAATCACTCCCCTTAAATCTAGTAAAAACCCCAAATACTGTGGCAATGCTTTTTTCTAGGATTTATTTTGTGTTGCTATGAACCGTCTAACACCACTTTGATGACTGCAGTAGTACTGTATTTATTGTATGTGTATACGAACTATTCCACAAAAGCTTAAATTTTCCCTCCTCCCTCAAATAATCACTTGCCTAAACAAAAATAGGTGTGCGTTTTTTAGCTCACATGCCATTTTCAAATAAGTCCTGAGAACTTCTTGAGAGCAGATTAGCTTAGTTGGCTAAGTGGTAGCCACTGAGTATGTTCTGAACCGTGGGTGCGAGCTTTGGATACCTTTGACCCCAGTTCCACCTACTGCTCTCTGTTTAAGTTGGAAGGCTGAGATGCAAGTTTCAATAGCATACCATTTCTTACATGAGACGGTAAAGATGTTGGTCCTGTATGCAATATGGACCATGTGTACATCAAAAAAACGGAAGTAAACTATTCTGAAAGGAGTAGGGGATTGTCTCTTGTACTGCCCAATTAAATACTAGAATGAACTCTCTGAATCTTTGGACTTTTGTGGCCTATCTTTGGTGAATGTACTAAAGACTGTTTAGCCCCTTCCAACCCCCCTCTAAATGAGGATATGCCAAAGGCTTGTGATAACATAACAAATTTAAACTATGTGGTACAGTGTACATACCCTAGCCTAGGCCCGCTATTCATAAGATCAAACACTTGAGCTGGATTCAAAAGCTGTTTAAACCGTCTCAGGAACTTCACCCCTTGATTATCTCCACTCTTGGAATTGACGAACACCAAAAGGGGGCTGTTGCATCCGTGCCTACTGGCCTGCCAGTAGCCATCCGAGTCGATACAATTTAAAGTGATAGGTGGGATGATGGAGACTTTACACTGACCTAGGGGGCACTTTTTCGCAAAGTGAGTTTTACAAACTGCATGCACCTGAGGAAGAAATGTAAAATATATAATAATAAATACATAAACAAAAAATATACTTTATTGTTAATAGATACTGCATCAAATTTTATAAATAAAAAATGTATTACCTAAACATTATAATCACTAAAATTTATATTTCAACAATATATTGTAGTTTTTGTATTAACAAATAATTTCGAATCCCAGATGTGAAACTAACAATAAATTATATTTGGCCTTATTACCATTGCTTTGCACCATAAACATCTTGAGTCCTGTAATCGCAGCACACTTCCGCATGTCTTATCACACACTGCACATTTCGCGCTCACCGGCAGATTTCCTTCCAACCATTGATGAGGCATTGTTAACTGTCGATAATAATAATATGCATTAGTAATCAATAATAACGTAATATTAACCAAATTATAACTAACAATAATAATATTCACTAACAAATTAAGCTATCAATAAACTTGGTATGTTAAACAACACCACTGATAGGGAGGTTTAATGCCATGTAATTTTATTTAAGATATTTTCTTGTGGAGAAGATAAAATCTCCACTCAAAATTAAATGGGACATAATTTATAGAGCATTATATCATTTCATTTATTTAAGAGGGTCCCTGAAACATCAGGTGTCTTCTGGGTTAAGGTGGATGGGTTACTTCTATAAATATAGCAATATATATTTTTTGATGACTGTGATCTCATAATAATAGTTAATGACAATAGATCTAATAACCATAGTTAACAGTAGTCAAGTGTCAATAACTAAACTGATGTGTCTTAGTGGCTGCTGAGGGGAGGGTGTCATGGTCACCCAGCAGAAAAAAATCAACAGCTGAGCAAAGGGCAGATGAGCTGTTCGGAGTCAACGGCCAACCATAACTAGTTTATTTAGAGACACATTATTTGGTTTTTTTTCCAGCCTATTAATTATATTGTGATGCACATAGATATAATGACAATAAGTCCACCATTATTATTATTAATAATTCTTTATTGGTCCTCATTCTAATTTACGAAATTTGGGCTGGGCCCCTAGAGATCCGCGGCAGCCGCAGTGAAGAGCCACCCGACTTAACAACTCATAACAGACACATACTGTACGGATGAAAGCATTGCCCTTAACCTAAACCTGCCTAACTCTCAATGAGGGTTTTTCGAGGAGCCAAGCGATAAGACTCCAAGTAAAACCCAACACTGGCCAGGTTTGAAATGGGTTCTTTGTCACAAGAAGCAACAATACCTCTCATCCAACTGCTCAACGTTATATTTTTGTCTCAAATGAAAGAATGGATGAATGTCTTTAATGAATAGAACACAGTGGATTTAACCTTTCACATTCTGAAATTACGGATAGCAGTCTTCATACAAATTTAATCAAAATCAAATGAATATCCAACAACTCCATAATCAACCATCAAAATTCAATAAATACTAGTTATACATTAATTCACAAATCAAAATAAAGGTTAGCAAAAAGCCATTTAATGAATTTCTTGGAAAGTCATTATTTGTGGTACACATTGCACATTAACCATCTCACTTGGTAATCCGTCGGACATTTAACGTAAGCCGTAGAATGCTCTAACGTTTTGATTTATCCAATGACCACACATTCAGACCCACTACCGACTACAACATAATTAATATAATTGATGGATAATTATAATGGACTTCCAACATCAAAATGCGGAGATTTTTGAGTCAACGACATACGTAGGATTATTACAAATCAAAGAATACTGCATCCAAACCAATTGAATGCCCCAGTATTCTGGTGACGATGTAAAGTACGTGCCTGAAACTGGTTTATTAGGTTTACAAGCAAATTAATAATAAACTTTATTTTTAACATGGAAAAACTTGTTTGAACAAAGTTGTTCTTCTATAAGTCAGTAAACAAAAGAAAAAAATATTAAACAAATTAAAATTAACAAAAAGGAAATAATGAAAAAAAAAAAAAAAACAGCACCAAAAGGCTTATAATTAATTTAACAGAACAACTTATACACTTTCCTTCGTCTGTGACCTGAAAAAAGTGTTCCCTTAATAGGAATGTCCCTTTAATAGGGATGTCCAAAGGAAAGGTTCTACTGTACAGTATTATATTTTCAATGTTATCATTCCAGCAAACAAAATACAAAATGTATTTTAAACTTGATAAATATTCATAAAGATTTTATACGCAAAATTTAGAGAGTCCCAGTGAAAAGCAATGATTTCACTAATTCAGGTTATTCTCTTTAAATAGAAGTTGAAAACTCAGACAAGGATATAACTATGGTTTAAGTTAAAGTCTTGTACATTTGATCTTTTCATATTTATTTGATGAATAATATTTGTGTAATATTCTCAAGGGGGGATTTAGGGGAGCCGAGCTTGCCCCGGTCCCGTCAAAAAAGAAAGAAAGAAAAAAGAAAGACAGAAAAAGAAATAATTGATGGCCCAAAACGCATCTGGTTATTTGCGGGCATCTAGGAAAAAAAAAATCTGTGGACGCATGTCCCAGGACCCCCTACGGTAGTGTTGTCTCTTGATGGTAAGCATTTCGGTTCTCCATTTAGGACATCTCTGGGTCCGCCCCTGATTTTAACAACGATTTTGACACATTTTTATGGTCGCTTTAAATGATCTGTAATGAAAATTGAATTAATCTATGGCAAAGGCACTAAATTGTCAGATGCATGATCGAATGATCGATTAACTTTTAAGAACAGATTTCTTAGAAAAGACCAGTTATAGTTGGATTTAAATATTGGGTCTTAAGACTCAAGACTAGTAAACAGAGAAGCAGGATTGACCCTCTGACCGACAAAGCAACTAAAGCAAATTATTTACAATTTCCAAGAAATAACAAATCAGTTAAATAGGTTTACAAGATCCAATAGAATGTAGAGTTGCAGCTAGATGGAAACCAGAAAACAGCAACAAAGAATTTGAACAACTTTACAAACCAAATATTTGATGTATTTCAAAATGAACATTTATTTACATAGATCACTGGCTGATAATCAAATAGGCCCTCAGTTGTAACATGTGTCTACTGGTTTTTTTTGTGCTATTGTGACATTTTAGTTCAAAGTTTCTAGGACAGGTCTTATCTAGCAGCTTTGAGTGTGAATTCAATTGATAACTTAAGCATGGTTTCCATACAATCGCTACACGCTATCCCCGACAACTTTTGGTGATGCAGATTGGACGGTCAAATCGGGGAGCCTCCCTTATTGCGTCAGGGACTGCTACACAGTACAGAAACTGTATTGAAAACATTGTAGCGACAGTGTAGTAATTTTAACAAAACCAGGCTTTACTGTAACTATAGGTACAGGTCTTATATAGTATGTATGGCTTAACATTTCGTAAACTTGATTTTCATTTTTATCATTAGCTCATCACTCATCCCTCCACTGGATTTACTCTTATAAGTTCAACTGGATTCACTCTCACAAGTTCAATTGCAAGACGACAATAATGTGTCTACTTGCACAAAAAAGTTCCAATTGTTAAAACTATGAAAAACAAATTGTATGTCTCATTGTTAAGGTTCCGTGCCTACTATCTAATTTTATGCAATGAATTTGTGTGATGTGTCCATATATAGGCATGATGATGTCATATTACACCCATATATGGGCATATCATTTATTTGTCACATATAATTTGATAGCGTGGACATAGGTTGAGGTGCATGGCTATGATCTTTTTAAATACATTAATTAAATGCATTGTCATTGATTTTTTTTTTGTCCTTTCCAGATGTAACTGCAGATGGTATTTCTCTAAAATAGTACAGCAATAGTAAACGGTAATGTAATTTATAATTCTACAAGGGTTTGCAATTTTGAAATTTAGCATTAAAAACGAATTGAGATTCGTAAAACATACACAGTACAGTTAAAATGTATGGTTTATCGTGGTTTAAAATGTGTCTAGAAGAGCTATCATCACCATTAACCTGTTTGCATAGACACTTGCACATCTAGAAGGACGCTTGATAGCACCACAAAAAACTTGTATACATCAACTGAATCTACATTAGCCTACAGAAACTACTACCTCATGAGTACTTCATCATTTTTTATTTGATTTGATTTTAAAATATGAACCAGAGACAAATCATAAAAGAGCATATCAGGGATAACCCCCAAAATTGTGAAAAATATAATTATTTCCAAACAACTGACATAATTTTTCATATTTAATATTTTGGACCACAATGGAAGTATGTTTGTCTTTTCGGTACTTTATTGTTTTTATCCACGAATATTATTTTTGTATTAAAAATTAAAAAAATAAAAAATTATCAAAAAAATTTAATAATTAAGATCAATACTTTAACAATCGAGAATTTAACCTAAATATATATATATAAAAAAAAATAGCAGAATAGTGTAATTACCATTTTTATTTATTTTTTTTTATTACAGCCAATCATGTGATGGAACATTCAGAATGTTTACATTTTTAACAGACATTAAACTGGATTACAATACGTAGTGATGCATGCTAAATTATCATTGTACATTTGCAAATCCTACTTTACCATATTCCATTAAAAAAAATTAAATCTCACAGTGTGACCGTAGATTCGTAAAACGATTAGGTTATGTGGGTGGATATATTTACGCCTACCATGCTCTGTTGTATTAAAGTCAAATGATGCTAATGTCAAATATCGGCAAGAGAAATGTGAAAGCGTTGCCAAGAGGTCAGGAGCATCATGTGGATACACTTTAGAATAAGAATACATTTATTGTCAAACAATTTGAATAAATTGGTTAACTAAACTTTGGTTTGACATGTATGTTTGGAACTGGCAACAAGGAAAACGAAGGATAGGCCTAACACAGATAATGAGGAGGGAAAGATAGAGGAAGAAAAAGAGAGAGCAATGGAGGAAGAATGAAAATGACAAGGAAATTATTGAAGAGGAAAAAATGAGATGGCGATGGAAAAGAATGCGGATTAGGAAAAAGAGATGAGGAGATGGAAAATTAAGATAAGGAGAGGAAGGAAGAAAGAGAGAAAATGATGGAGGAAGATGAGGAGGAAGAAAATGAAAAAAAAAATGAAAATGATATTAAGAATGAATATTAGAAGATTAAGAGATTGAGAAGGAAGATAAGAAAGAGGATATTATGTGGAAGAAAGATGAAAAAAAAAGAAGAAAAAAAGGATGAAGACGTGATGGAAAAGGATTAAGAATGGATAAGGATGAGATGGTGGAGGTGAAGAAGAAAAAGAGATAGAAGATGATAGAAATTTATAGGAAGATTGAAAATTGAATAACTGGAGAAAACTTTTGGAAAAAGTGAAAGTGGTGGAAATGGAGAGATGAAAGAAGAAAATGAGAAAAGAATAGAGAACAAAAAGAATATAATAAGAAAATGAAAGCAAGAGAAAAGGAGAAAGACATAGATATAGAGATGGTGTAGTCGGAAAAGAATGAAGATTCCAAGAAAAGATGAATCAAAGAAACGTGTGTCTTAATAACATTAAAATCAGAATCGGACAAGAAGCCGTACGAGTTACGACAATCTGACGACAAACCCGCAAAGCTCTTTAACACGTTCTGTAAGCCATTTGGAGTAATTATTTAAAAAAAATGTGTTACTTGATTGATCTAGAAATTATTTTAATCATGAATTCCATGTCATTACGACAATTAATAGTTTTCTGCGAATTCTTACTTACGTCAGCAAAGACACCGACCTTAGGAAGCTGTAAAAGCATTTGTCATGTTTGTGTGAACATGAATACGCATCTTCACATTTGTTCATTGGCGTAATATACAATAAAAACGACGAGAAAAGGATTAAGACTTTGCAAAACTTGATTTCAAACATCATTTTTACCAAAAACATAAATTAATTTAAATTTACTGATTTGATATGTTGGAAAACCGAAGAACAGCCATGGAAATGTGAAAAAGATAATTATTTCCATAGAACTGATTTGAAATGAGCATAATTTTTATATATAAGAATAATTTTTATATTTAATATTTTAGACCACAATGGAAATATGTTTGCCCGTTCGGTATTTTATTGTGTTTTTATCCATGAATATTATTTTTATATTCAGAATAAAGAAAAAAAAAATCAAAATTTAACATCTTATTTTAAATGTCTGTTTACCCACTTTATGTCTCCAAAATACAACGAGATCACATATGCAAAATTAGTGGAGGATGAGTTCCATTTTCTTTTAATCTGTCCGTTATATTCAAATCTAGGGGAGAGGAATGTATCCCCTGTCCCCTAATGTTCTCCACCCATACCTATACACCCTTCCTCTTCAGACCATTCTACTTAATACCTTGCAACATCTTCTCCACTACACAAATATTTAATATGCATTTTGCAATACCATTCCAAACCACTTTATTAATGTGTCATTGACCTATTTAAACATACAGGACAACAATTATAAGAACTGGAACTGGTATTGAAAATACATTTGTTTTGCCTTAAAAAAAATCCATATTCCCCACCATCCCCTGTAACATCCATACACACAAAAATCAAACATCATTAATTCTAATTAAAAGTAGGGCAGTGATTTGAGGGGGTGTACATCCTTCATTGTAATGACACAGTTTAAAGCACTGAAGTTGTTGATTAGGATTGCATATGACACACAAGGTTCATAATTTTATTTCTCTTCATAAAACGGGAACTGGTAGGCAGCAAAAACGATCACATCCAACTAAAAAAGGTCTACCAGAGCAAAAATGTCACCAACGATTATAGTTATACTCTAGTTGTGTGTTCTAGCAGGCCTACACTAGGCTAGCAGGCCTACACTTGTAATACAAAAACACACCCAATCACAATTTACACAGCCCCGGATGTTTACATTTTTAATAGACATAGATAAAGTGACTACAGGGCCCACTTGTATGTGACTGCCACTTTAATATGTGGCTCAGTTGGAAACAGACCAAATTAAAGGCCTTCGTTGAATGACTCGCACGCTGAGGCGATGCACAATTATTTAACGCCAACACATTGAAAGCACTTTCTCCACATGCTCACGCCATTACCACACAATCAATACTAATATGGCCGTAGCCTTGTAGCTCTTTTTTTATATATTATGGTAATCACACTTATCCTTGTTAACCTCCATACATTTACACCAAACAATATCTGAGTTTGGCATCCAAAGAAGACAAATCTGAACACAATGTGATTTGTAACAGCTTGTCAATCACATACATCAATCGTGGTATACAATTTTGTTTAAGTAAGAAAGCAAGTTAATTTATCTGGCCTACATTAAAAAAATTTCACTATCAAAATTGAAATCTCTCACTCAATGCAATGTTTAGCAACGCAATGGCGAGAATAGGTATTACACATTCTATATTGTCACAAGACGAATACCGTTTCTATGATATGATGAGGATCAAAAACATCTTAGTATCATATTGCAGACAGATGGTTAAATATATGTGTAATACGGACATATAGATAGATAGAATTTGTAAATAATTAGAATAAAAATACGTAATAAAAAAAAAAAAAACATTTTTAGAATTACAAGTAGAAAAGCCATGAAAAACATTAAATAAATCTTTACTTTAGGCCTGAGAACAATTTTTTATTTTTCTAAAAAACAAATTATTCATTTTTTATACAACAGCTTAACAGATTTTTTTTCATGTATTTTCCTCTTTACATTTTTATGTATCCATATCCCTTTGAAAAACAATAGACGTATCAAAGTGTCCTACATAATAATAATTTAATTAATATACACTACAAATAGCCAATTCAAATGTAACCTTATAAAGTGGATAGTTCACACGCTATAAGCCGTAATTTATTTTTATCTCTTCTTTTGAGAGCTTTCAATACCTGATAAATTTAAACATGCTATCAGCAAGTCCATTACCCTTGATTGTCTTTAATGCACTTGGTGACTATTAGCTTGGCTAGAGGAGACTGTAGAGAAGGAACGTGGCCAACCATTCTTGTATGCACATTATTGACCATTAGTTGGGCTGGAGGAGAATGAAGAGAAGGAATGTGGCCAACCATAGTACATTTGCTGACTATTAGCTGGGCTAGAGAGGGCTGAAGAAAAGGAATGTGGCCAACTATTACTGTAGCTGGGCTGGAAGGGGCTGAAGAGAAGGAACGTGGTCAACATTAGCGCATTTGCTGACCATTAGCTGGGATGCAGGGAACTGAAGACAAAGAAAGTGGCCAAACTTCATGCACTTCTGACCCTCAACTGTGGCCAAGAGGCTGAAGAGGAGGAATGATGTGGTCAGCCATTCTTATGTGCACTTGCTGACCCTTAGCTGGGGCTGGAGAGGCGGAATAGAAGGAATGGCCAACCTTAATACACTTGCTGACCATTAGCTTTAGCTAGCTGAAGTGGCCATTCTCAGGGTAATTTGATGTACTTGTTGATTAGTAGCTAGGTGGGGCTAGCAGTTTCAGAGGAGAAATATGGCCAACCTTAATACACTTGGTGATCACTAGCTGGACTGGAGGGGTTCAAGATGATGAACAACGCCAACTTTAATGCTCTTGCTTCCTATTAGCTGGGTTGGAGGGGGCTGAAGAGAATGTAGGAATCCTTATGGAATACAATGCACTTGCTGACCATTAACTGGGGCTAAAGCAAACTAAAGGGGACTCAGGGGAATGTAGCCATTCCTAAGGGAATGTAATTTAGTAAAAATAATGGCAACTCCTTTGAGGAGTTCATCATACTTATACTTGTTAAACATATTTCCATTTTTTTTATGGAGCTATACTAGCACCTATTTTAAAGATTATTGTATTGTACTTACTCCACCATCATCCTCCTCAATTATATCTTTTCCTATGGATGCCAAGGTCGTCCATTTGCAATTGTTCCCAGCACGCACTGCACACCGTTTATGAGCTTTAAGCTTGCAAACTGAAAAAAAACCCCGAAGATCAATAGTCAATTAATAACCGAAATAAAAAAATTGAATTCCTTCCTTCAGTGGAAAACAAAATCAATCAATGAAACAGTACCAATTTCCTCAGAATCCACTGCACATAAAGTCCAGAGACAAAAAAAAAAACACAAAGCATTTTTTAGACCAAAAAATTATTTAGTAGACAGTCCCAGGATTTAAAGACTGGAAGACTGGACTGGCTTTAAATTTTTAGCTCTTGTGTATTACTGATAAATTATTGGATCAATTTAAGTGATCAATTTTGTGTTAAAAAACACATTACTATGTTAAAACATATTATCATTAAGCATAATATTATTGTTATTTAAGTTAAATGTTTTATGTTTATAGGGTTTCAAGATTTTAGAATAATTTTAATGACATCTTTATAAAAATATGAGGAATTATAAAACGTAGATCATACAGTATGCCAGAGAAAATTTAAAAAATTAACTGCTGCGAGCCTACCGGTAAGCAGAAAACAGACGATGATGTACACATTGTATTATCTGCTAAAATAATAACATGTTCTCAGTAAAAATATATTTTGTCTACTCTATATATAATGTATAACCTCAAATAGAAGCCCTGGGGTTCTTTTTTTTGCGAACTTTGGATGTGCTTCGTTTTGGGACGGCCTTCTTTTCGAGGCTAATTTTGCAAAGTAAAGATGTGGGCTTCTCTTCAAAATGAATGCTGTAAATTTGGAAATTAATACTGTAAAACAGTAAATAGGGCCACTGTACAAAAACCAAGTGTGTTTTTATTTGTTTATTTTGTTTCTTTGAATTTTTATGTACAGTGTACTAGCTCGAAAAGAAGCCCCAGCTATCTTGAAAAGAAGCCCGTGGGCTTCTTTCCGAGATGGACTTGGACTAATTTGGACTAATTTTGTAAACTAAAGAGAGAGAATAATTTTTCGAGAATAATTCTATTCGATGTTTTGCGGTATTTTATTGTAAGTATAACCTAAGGCAGGCTTATTGAACTTATTATCCAGCAGGGATCACACGCATGATCAGAGAAGAAAACTGACTCAAGGCCTATGATGAGTGCTACATATGCAGGTATAAAGAATAGGAATACAGAGATCAATAGAGAATATCAAAATTAATGAGTACAAGCTTAGATACTGAAGTTAATAACACATTAATAGAGTAGGTAGATCACCCACGGGTTGTTAATGGTCGTTGATACAGAGACGGAGCTCAACGACGCTACCACATGGAGAGATTCGTCATGTGACCTGACTATTAATTAAGGTGAAGTGACACCGGATAAATGTGAAGCAATATCGGAAGTCATCGCAACAATCAATCAGATAGCTTCATGTCAGATATGGAGCGTTGCCTCTTGAGAAATCTAGAACTCGGCATCATTGCACAAAAACCTTTGCTTTTGTTACAAACCAGAAAATATTGTATTCAAAGCCAGCGACCTCAATTGATAAACTACAGAAATGATGTATGCTATTACCATCGTAAAACCTTTTATTTAATTGCTAGGAACATGAAAAATTTTATATAAACCTAGCAACCTCAATTGTCAAATTACATAACTATGGTAAAGCCATTACAGGATTTCTGAGTTTTTCAGAATTACTAAGATTAGACTAACTCCCCATTAAAAAGGAGTAGACATGTTACCAACGGTCAGTGTCAGCTTGACCAAGCATTGACAGCCTGGTTTTTAGGTTTTATACAATGTATTTTTTTAAAAATTTGTATCCTGGTTATTGTAAGTCTGATCAAAGGTTGATGGCATAGTTAAACTTCATTTGATTTATTTGTCTCAAAAAAACATTTACCAGAACAGAAACAGCAATGAAGCACAAAAGAACACATGAGACAGGAACAAACTAAAAATGAACTACAGTAAATCACTGTTGATTGGGGAACCTTTTACAAAAACAAATGCTTACAATATAAAATTTGGTTTATAGATGAAACATTTAAAGTAAAAAACTAAAAAAAAATTGTAGTAAAACAAGCATACTTTAATAGTTAGGCATTTAAAATATTACAATAATCTGATGATGCAATGAAACTTCAAAATGCCAAATTATTGATTAACTATATTTTAGTTTATATTTGTAATTGTTGTTGGGTTTTCATTTGATATATCTATTTCCAATTGTAATTACATAATTCATGAGAGCATAAGGTTTAAATATTGAACAATAAAAAAATATGTTATTTATATTGATTTATAGCCAATGGCCAAATGATATTGCACAATATGAAATATATGTGAAAAGCTTAAGGAAAAAAATCTTTCCATTTTGATTTATTCAAATGTTATTGAACATGACAACTACCAATGACAAAAGAGGAATACTTAACAATACGAATATTAATGTAAATGAGAGTTGAGAAAAATGTCATTTATATTTATTCAAATATTAAAGATTAATAGCCAGTGGCAAAATCTTATTGGACGATGATATGAATATTCAATTCTCTGACAAGGATTGTTCAACAACATGAATGTTAATGAAATCTGGATATATTAACACTGATTTATTTAAATATCACATGATAACTGCCAGTAGCTAGTACGATGATATGAATATTTTTGAAGGTTCATGATAAAAATCCTCCATTTTGATGTTTTGCGACAGCAGCCAATGGCAGACAAGAATTGTTGAACTATATGAATATTAATGAAGCTGAAAATATGTCATTCATATTGATTTATTTTACAAGATGACAGCCAGTAGCTAGTATTACATGAAATGAATATTAATGAATATTGATGAAAAAACATTGCATCTTTTTTGACATCCACAAAAAAACACCAGATGGTTAGATCGATAAAATGAAGAACAAAAAAATAAGAACCGTCTAAAAAAATCAAGTCCAGACTGGTTATGAACTACGACGACAGAAGTGTCAGCATAGATATTGATATTGTGGCGATCTGTCATATGAGGCACGTTGTGGCAGCAGTACAAAATGTTGAAGCAGATATTGAAATTGGTATTTTCAAATAGTTGAGTAGCGTATATATTTAGTAGAAAGAGCCGTGTTTGTCTGGCAGACGTATGAAATAAAAATACTGGCAGTACTTATAGAGAGACTAAATTATTTAATTACACAAGCTTTCGCCAGTAGTCTATGCTGGCTTTATCAGGTGACACCATAAAGTACTACCTTAAAATGAGCTTAATTTCAATGAGGGGTAAAATTGGACATAGCCTTAGGTATTGGTAAATATAAAGCACTCCTAGAGTCAAGATGAAGATGATTTTGAGTAATTGCCTTCAAAATTATTCATGTAGAATTAACTACCAAAAAAAAAAAAAAAAAACTAGAATTTGGACATGATTAATTAGATATTACACTGCTGATTTATAGTGCAAACATTTGAAAAATTTCTAGGCCATTTCTTGAGCTCGCATATTATTTAAGAGCTCAATTAAAACTCAATATTTGTCTGTACAACAACTTAGCCATTCTGCCATGACATACCTCATATGTTATGAATATTTTATTTTACAAAAATGAAATGGACAAGCTGAATGTGACGTGAATCAATTGAGAATGCACAAGAATACATTGGGTAAAAAGTCAAGTGCAATACAAGCTGTATGAAACCTAACCTAAAGTGGTTATTGATTTCAGTTGTTTTTATGAGATGCATTGAATCATGATATTCAGTTATATTATCTAGACCTAATCATTATCATCATCTTCATTCATAACCTCACCTCTATATCAATCATCATTGTCATCTTTATTGTTATTTTATCATTATCCTTTTTATCATGTTTATCCTCATCATTTACAACAACTCATTATGTTTTACATCATCCATGTTTCCCCACGCTTTAATGGGAGGGCTTTGAAAGTGTAGGCATAAGTACTCTTTTATAAAAATATTAAATGATGATCTCAATCAAAGTGACAAAAATCTACATTTCATTACATGCTTTTTGATGGGAAGGGAAGGGGATGGGGGTGTCAAGGAAAAGAGTATGTTTTATACCCTTCTGGAAAACGTTGTAAAATTATGGTGGACTCTTCAATCAATCATTATCAACTTTATATCATCATCCTCACAACGATCACCATTTTATTGTCACTGTATCATTACAATCACTCACAATCATCAGCATAACTTACTTTAATTATTATTTATATCAGTAGTAGTGGGTCACAACTCCCTGCACCCCTCATGACCTGTATCTTCGTGACCACCAAATTCCTAAATCATCAAATTCACTTGTCATGTCATCAACACTTATCATAATCTTCATCACCATCAACTAGTCTCAACATCATTACTGGGTATTTCACTGCTTACACTATCAGCACCCAAGGCTTTTACGAAGAGAAGCCATCAGAAATACTCATCGACTGCTCTAATGATACATGTAATAATACTTAAATTCAATAATCTTATTCGTAGTTTAAACTGCGCATGCCCGTATCAAGGTCAACATAGGTTTATTATGTTGATTCACCTTGGATGCGGGCATTCGCAGTTCGAATTACGATTTGGCTTATTCGGAAATTATGAAGAATATTTACCTTCGCAGGACAAGCCGTGTGATGTAACACCGGGAAGAGCTTCCCGGCAAACGTTGCAATAAGTGGGCCTGGCATGGGAGCAAGCGTACCAATTATGCATTCCAGAAAGCATATCTCCAATGTGTTCACTACCGGACTACATAAGAAAAGCAATAGAAAATGTTATCATCCATGTAACATTTGGTCTCTACCTAAATTTTGTTTGTTAAGACATTCACTCAGCCAATTTGGAAATAAATAAAATATTCTAATAAATATATCAAATAAAACAAAATGGTATACAGTATTATTATAATAAATATGAATATATGAGGCATGTTGTGGGAAAATAGCTAAGTTGCAGCAAAAATTAAAATTCAAGTTATTGGTATTTTCAGATACCAGAGTATGTGATCTTTAAAATGAGGGGTCATTCACTGAAATTGGACATTTCAAGCCTAAGTTATTGGTAAGTGAAAGTACAGCACTCTTTGAGTCAAGATAAACATGATTTTGAGTAATTGCCTTCCAAAATTATTTGTGCATACATTGTTTAACAGAATTTAACTATCTAAATAACATTAAATAAACGAATTGTTGACCACTTCCAGAACTAATACTTTGGGACATGATTAATAAGACATTAAACTGTTGATCTATAGTGAAAAAAAAAAATTTGGATTTTTAGGCAATTTTTTGAGCTCCCATATTTTATAGCTCATTTACTCAATACGGCCTGTGCGACAACTCAACCACTCCGCCATGACATGCCTCATATTATTTTGAAATAATTTAATATAGTATAAGCTTCAATATAAAACAAAAAATGTGACATTAATAAACAAATTGGTATAAACATAATATATTGATTTACCAGTAATATAACATAGAACAATATAAGATATAAAAATACAATAAAAAAAAAAAATAGCAAATAATTATATTGTTACTTTAATAAAGAGATAAAGGGAATTCAATTAAATAAATGTAAAAAAAGAAGGTGCATTGACCATAAGTCTGTTCATCTATGCTGTAAGATTAAGGTGAAGAGATGAAAAATGTTGCCCATGGTTTTATAAGCCGTGGTTCAGCTAAAAGGAATTTTGTAAATACGATACCATGAAAATCGGTCAAAATACAAAAACTGTGATTGATGCAATGGATATAGAGTATCACTACTATCACATGCAATAATCGTGTCTTGTATTTCTTCACAAGTTAACTTGTAAACGTATACTATTTGTATCGTTTCTATCTCTTACAATTTCACTATGCTATCGGATTAGTTCATCAAGAAATTGCGTTTCCTCCGTATCTACGCTGTCCATCTGATTTCACATTTACAAATATAGACAAAAAAGATTACTGAAACTATTAGATTTCGTCAAGCTCGTAGCTCACTGTCATCGCTGAATTATTACAACTTATACGTTGCAAATTGCCTGTCAGAACTTTAGTTTCTTATTCTAAATATCAACTTTAATAAATGTAAGAGAATTCTGACGAAGCAGAAATGTACGTTTTGCGATAATCAACGGGGTAATTGAAAGCCAATTTTTTTTTTGAATGACCTACATGCTTGAAGTTGAAACATGGAGTCACCATTCAAAGTAGTACATATAGCAGTGTCGTATCTTCATGTAATAACTGGTGGGCCAGCAATTTATTATTTAATTACTACTGTATTTCTCATCTTGGTGGCGAGAAAGCACCTAGCTGTTCACTGACCATAGGATGTCCTGTATGTGTGACTTATGTGAATTAATAATGGAAATGTTTTAATAAAATATAATAATGGCGGTTGGGCTAAGATGCTTGCCTTCAATCTCAGAGACCTAGATTCAAATCCTGTAAAAAATTCAAGATATTTTTTTCATGACAATACGGTCTTCACTCATTATTTGTAAACAAGTTTTAGCATGATTAAGTATTATCACTAGGACCTGAGGAGAACAGTAGATGGATAATACCAACAGAATGACTAGTATAATTAAGAAAAACATAGTGTATCCTGCCTTGTCTACAGCATGAAAAACATAGCAACTCTTGCATAAATACCCGGAAACGACATTATTGCGTTTGCCAGATAAACTGCAATTAGCTGAAAATGCACAAAGTGTCAGCGTACAAATGAACTTGGCCGGTTTAATAATAACGAATCGCCACCCATGTCGGCACGATTTTGCCGGAGGCTCTCTTTAGCTCTTCTACATCTATATTCATCTCTGACGTGTGAAAAGGAGGACAGGGTCAAGTAAGAAACCACCGATCAAACCAATTTTTTTTCTGCTATTACGGTAATATTAAAACTCATCTTTTTGGTAATACTACTGTATATAATTGGCAATTCAGTTTTAACAAATTTCATTTTACTATACTATATAATTGGCAATTTAGTTTTTAACGAATTTCATTTTGTTTTCCTGGAGATTTACAGTAATATGAGTATGGATGAAATTGAAAATGACAAGTCAAATTCCTAAAATATACTTGTAATAAATCTAATTGAACCATTGAGATACCTCACTAAACACTCAATCATTTTCACAAACAATAAACATTGCCTTGTATACTGCAAACATGCATTTCAACTTTGCCACAAAAAAGTTCAAACATATTTTAAACAAATAAATTTGGGACCCTCCTGGAAATATCTTGTTCAGATTTAGAGGGTTAATATCCCAGATCCTAACATTAAGTAAGTCAAATAATTAAATTTTAATGATCCTGTCTATGTTGATCTGTGTATTTTTTTAATTAGATGAATGAATTAAATTATTAGTTCATTTGTTTAGTTAAAGTATCAAGTCCTGTCCAGCCTATCAAATTTTACTTGACAAAAATATAATATGCCCAAATATGGTCATGATGACATCACATCATGACCATATGTGGCAAAGACAAGCTAAACCAGTCATTGCAAAAATTAATTTTTAGTTATTAACACAGGGTTAAAAAGTAAAATGAGAGCTATAAAATGGTAAAGAAAAATCATTTAAATCCAACATTTCGTTATGAAGTTACAGGAGTTTAATCATACAGCTGTTTAAAGAACAATATTTGAGAAATCAGCCTTCAATGTTTTTGGCTATTTCTCAGGCAGCAACCATCACCAAATCGTTAAAAATTGTTGTTTTAACATTGGAAATGGGAAAAATAACAGCATAGCATGATGTATAATAGATATAAAGGTTAGTTTAGTGCAATAAAATATATTTTTTTCCCAAAATTTTGACATTCCAGCATGTTTTGGCCATTATCTCTGAAACAGGATTTGCGACGAGTGACTGGTTTGGCTTGTCTTTGCCACATATATACTGTAGGCACATCATGACTATATATGGGCACATCATGACCATATGTAGGCACATCATGACTATATATGGGCACATCATGACCATATATAGGCATATCATAACTATATATGGGCACATCATGACCATATATAGGCACATCATGACTACTGTATATATGGGCACATCATGACCATATATAGGCACATCATGACTATATATGGGCACATCATGACCATATATAGGCACATCATGACTATATATGGGCACATCATAACCATATATAGGCATATCATGACTATATATGGGCACATCATGACCATATATAGGCATATCATGACTATGTGGGCACATCATGACCATATATAGGCACATCATGACTATATATGGGCATACATCAGTTTTTTTTTGTCAAACAAATTTGATAGTGTGGACAAAGCTTTAGTCAGTATATTTTGTTACTTAGGTCGTAGTCATTTCAATGAGTTCACACCACCTTGAAATTGAAGGCATTTGACCTTTAATAAAATATTTAAAAACTAAAAACAACATTTAATCACTGGTAAATACTTATTTCACATAAGAATTATAAATCTCATGGCTTTATACTTTATCCATAAATTTTAAGCTAACCTTAATAAACATTGCTATTAAATGTATAAATGCTTTTTGACATTAGTAATGAATAAATTTTAAAAACTCTAACTATTTGTCATCATTAAGTCTGACTGCAGATGTTTCTCCATATACACATTTAACTTCATATGAGTTTTAATTCCATCTTTAATGCTAATATCCACATTCATCACACTTAATCAATAACAACCTTAATGATATATCAATATTTAGACAGGAAATAGAAAGAAAAATATATCTAAACAAAAGAGGAATTTAATACTAAATTTTAAAGGTTAAAGTTTAACATAGTGCAAAACTCCTTCCAAATAACAGAGTTAGGCATTCAAGTTTCAAACTCTAGAGTGACTAGCATCTGCTAAACAACCAAACTTAAAGCTTGCGTTTTGATACAATGGCTTAATTTTTTATGATATACCGACTACATACTGTAGATTTTCTAGACATTTGATTGGTCAAAGTCAGGCTCCAGAGGAGATAATATTCAAAAATCTGTATCTTATTAACCGCTTCCGAGTTTTTCATCAAATATACTTTTCGTGTCTTAAAAAAAAATCAGTTCTACAACATATAAGAAAAAAGATTGGCTTTAAAAGCTGGGTAACAGTCCCTCTAATGCCTACAATCTAAGTACCATAGTGGTATATAAAATAAATATTTACTGGGTTTTAAGTGGGTCATACAGGTAGTTGAAAAAAATAATACTCTTGGAGATCTGGAGCTTTACTATGTTCATCGACTTTATCTTAGAACATAGTAAAACCTCCAGATCTCCTAGAGCTATAATTTGAACCATGCCTCGCAACCCAGTAATTATTTGTATAATTTAAAACTTACCTATAAAAATGTGTTATCAATACCTTGTTTAGAATAATCTCAATTTCAATAAGAAAAATAATTGGTTATAGATTAATATCAAGGTCCCAAATGACCGGCTTTCAACTTACTAAAGTACAGTTCATAACTTGGTTATAATAGTCAATGTTAGTCTAGCTGCACATCTTTCCAAACATACCTTTGCACTTCAAATTATTATCCAAATTACTGGATCAAACACTATAAATGTAACATACCCAGCTCCCTGATGAGAATAACTTTTGAGAAGAACTATTTTTATTCCATAAGGGATTTAAATCTGTGACTACTGTTCAGTTGCTCAGATTTTAAACTGAGCTATATAAAACCAACCGAATATATTTCTATGAAATTTCCCATAGGATATTCTTTAATCTCAAGGGTATTGCATAATACTCAAGTTTAAATCTCATAATGAGTGATCAACTATTTTATAAGCATCATTTCCAAGCAAGGATGTGAGGGACTGTGATATAGATTTCTTATGTAATAATCCATTCATAATTGATTTCTTTCTCTCTCTCTCTATTTTTGTTGTTAAATTTGGGAAGGCTAAATAAAGAACCAATGACTGGATTTCCACGTACAGTTACATTTTGTTTTTCTAGTAAATTGGGATGGCACTTACGCAGAAGGCGTTACAAAAATAGAAATTTGTAATAATATTTCGTCGTTATTTAAAGGGATGATTAAATAATGTTTTCACAAATATGATATAGATTTCTAAATTTATAGTTCAGACTAGTCTCTGACCTAAAAAAAAAAATTTCCAAATATATGACCAACTTTTTCACTACAGAGATACAGTATTTATACTGGTTTTAAGGCCAGAAATCAAACTGAATAAAATGTTTTCACAAATATGATATAGATTTCTAGAAATTTCCAGAAATCAAACTGAAATAAAATGTTTTCACAAATATGATATAGATTATACTGGTAAATCAAACTGAAATAAAATGTTTTTACAAATATGATATAGATTATACATATACAGTATTTATACTGGTTTTAAGGCCAGAAATCAAACTGAATAAAATGTTTTTACAAATATGATATAGATTTCTAGAAATATACAGAAATCAAACTGAAATAAAATGTTTTCACAAATATGATATAGATTTCTAAATTTATAGTTCAGACTCTAGTCTCTGACCTAAAAAAAAAAATTTCCAAATATATGACCAACTTTTTCACTACAGAGATACAGTATTTATACTGATTTTAAGGCCAGAAATCAAACTGAATAAAAGACGTAACATAAAGTGTCTCAGTTGGCAACTATAGTTTACACATTAATGATCAGAATTAGATAGAAATTAGGACACAATGTAACCAATCGAACACAGAAACCCCAGTATGTTAAAATTGATATACTGTAGGTATAGAAAGACTAATGGTGCCTCAATATTAGTTATGACTGCAGCTGATGCGAAATCAAATTTCTCTTTATGAACTACTTTGACACAAGCTTCATTTAAAACAGATTCCTTAATTAATATTTTCAGTATAATAACATTTTAAATTCCGTAACTTTCAATGAATGAGTAAAATTAACATAATGGAGTTGTTTTTGTGAAAAAAGAAACAGTTTCTACCAATTTTTTAATATACTATGAATATAAAATACATTGATCATATTTATGAATTAGATTTTTTTAGAAGTGAAACTAAGGTTTAGTGACTAAGTGCACACTTCACAATAGGGTTATGGGTTCAAATCCTGCAATCCCTCTAATGCTCTACCAACACTATCATATTTTATGCGACAAATTTGTCAACTGCCCATATATGGACATGATACTGTCATACCATATTCATGGTCATCATAATATAATATCACAATACTTTCTAATTCCTAAATTTAGTGCCCAGGGACATAGTTATGATAGGCGAAGCCACCCAGCTTGATGTTTTCCACCCAGTCTAAAGCAAATTTCATGGCCCTCTAGCCACCTATATTAACTCAATGGCCATACATAAAATCTACTCATTCATTATTGTGAGTTTACCATGTTATCACTCACCCACCATAAAATGTTTCCTACCCACCCTTAGTTTTCTAGCTCTATAATCCTGGGTGTCAGTACAAACAGAACCTCAAATATCAGTAACAAAATGGGTCATAATATTCATTAAAATTTGACATAAAAAATAGTATCGAAGGGGAAACCATAGGCGCCCAATGCAAACAGTGGGAACCTCTTCGAAAAACAAATTACTGTACAGTTATATGTAAACAGCCAGGCTGTGAACTCACATCATAGAAATCTTTGTTACTTGCTGATCGAATAGCACTGATCCAATCCTCCATGTCTTTGCGTGAATCTGCTATGAGATGTAAGGTACGAAAGGGATTGATCACCTGTAGAAAAAAGCATACAGTATAATAGATTAAAGAAAAATCATCTGGTAACATCACTGGCTGGGGAAGATCCCCAGGAATCATCACTATTGGCAGTAGGGCATGTAGCTCACTCAAAAAAAAGGGGTTTTTTTTAAGCTCTGATGAGAGTTCTAGAAACACTCAGCGAATTCATTAAATAGATTATTTTTAGTTCTACTACCTCTATTATACTGCCCTCATTGGAGCTTTTGAGATTACGAGAACTTAGATTAGATTGCTCATTTTTTTCCCTATACCATTATCAATTAATATATCCAATTAATGTAATCAATCAATCAATATACCAACCATATCAATTGATCAATATACCAACCAATCAATCGATATACCAACCAGTCTATCAACATACCAGTTAGTCAATCAATCAATATACTAACCAATCAATCAATAATATAACCAATCAATCATTATACTAACCAGTCAATCAATATACCAACCATTCAATCATTATACTAACCAGTCAATCAATATACCAACCAATCAATCAGTCAATCAATCAATCAATATACTAAAAAATCAATCAATATACCAAACAATCACTCAATATACTGATCAATCAATATAATACTAACCAATCAATTAATATACCAACCAGTCAATCAATATACTAACCAATCAATCAATATACCAACCAATCCAATAATATACCAACTAGTCAATCAATATTCCAACCCATCAATCAATATACTAACCAATCAATCAATATACCAACCAATCGTTCAATATACTATTACCAATCGATTACTATACCAATCAGTCAATATACTAACCAATTAATTAATATATTAACAAATTAATATACCAACCAATCAATCAATATATTTAATCAAACATTTAACCATTCAATCTTTGAGTCCGACTTTAATGGAGGGATTTTTTTTATCTGTTACTTGATTTATAATAAAATAAGATATCAAATCAAATCAATCAATCACTATTCTAAATGTTATTGAAATGTCCTCAGAATTTAATTGTTTCTGAGGGACAAACTAAAAGCTTAACACCTAGAGTAGCTATTAACATAAATTTGTTCTAATGGCCGATGGGAAAGTGCAATAAAACCATGGGACTATTATTTTATTATTAATCCAATTAAAATATCACATTTCACAGGTTAAAAAAAACTATACAGGATATAGGGGTTACCACTGGACATTCAACCAACTAACTATACTTTAATATTCTTCACACATTTATCCTATTGATTCATATTATTTGTAATGTATGTGTTAATTGGCCAATTTTAGCAGCAATCTGTATTGGCTAGAGGCCAGGTTTTAGTACAGGTCTGATGGCCATCTCATTCCACTTATGAGTCAAACTATCTATTTTAAATGCTAAAATTGTATAGCTTTCAGATATATAGAAAGCTGATTGTCATCAATGGATAACAAGGATAACAAGAGTTCAACTGTTTCGATATTTCACTAGCAATTTTGGTTGGTTTCCAGCAAACACAGAATTTTATAATACTTGTGAACATTTGATAAGGTTTACAAAATACTGTTAAATATGCTATTTAGTTGGAAATTGTGTTATAAATACAGCTCTATAGCTCTCAAAAAATAATTTCAACACTTATCATTACTGTGTTTTTTTCCCCTTTTTTCATGACTCGTTTGAAAATACTGGCAGCACAAATTTGGTTTGCAACCAACAGTTTGGGAAGTAAATCATTTTCTATTTCCAAAAATCATGGACAGTATAGTTTGATCAAATACCTCTGAAGCAAGGAATACCAATTCAGATATTATTTGATCAAACAATTTTTTATCAAGAAAGTCTAACAGACTAAAATCTGATAGCGATATGATCCATGGTGTACAGGCCTCCAGTGGCAGATCCGCGATTTTGAAATTAGGGGGCCCAGGGAGGAACATAGACAAAAAGTCTACACCACCAATGGTTGGGGTTGAGGCAAGAAAATTTATGATTATGGAATCACTAGATGGTGGGAAATGGCACTCTAAGACATAATTTTGACAGGGCTTTTTTTAGCCACTAACAACATATTGCTAAAATTTGTTAGTTGTAAAAAAATGTAACCAGCAAAATGAGTTGATCAACTAGTAAAATATATTGATACCAACCAAACATATTATTTTCGGAAAATAAATATGAAGATAACAACTAATGATGTACTTCTATAAATTTGTGTGTTAAAAGTTGTAATATAATATGTTTTGTTATAGTGGTCATTGAACATCATTTTTTTTTTCTCCTTTTTTAAAAATATTTTTGAAAAATTTACATAATTCGGCCACTGCCTTCAGCGTCAAATAAAAAATTTTCCACCAGAAGTGGCAAACAAAACAAAATGAAATTGAAAGTGAAAAAAAAAACATAGTAATCCGTTGAATTGCTGGGTTTGAAAATGTCAACCGACATAGAGTATCACCAGATCGCTCCGTGGCTATATTATCTCTTTGATTCGTAACACGATTCCGAAATAGCAAGAACAAGATAATTAATGATAATATAGCATGAAAGTGTGTGTGGGAAGGTATGACAGGTTTTACAGATACTGATGGTGTGTGCAGATAATCCAGAGAATGTCGTGTGTTCTAATTACATGCTACCACTCGGCTACAATTATGTTCAAATGTATTTAAATTTCTGGATATTGTTTTTTCAATGCAATATCTGTATTATTGCAAATGTCATTGGCAGGCCTGGAAAAAAAGCAGTTTATGCTTCCGACCATGAAAATTGTCTTGATAGAATGCCTCCACCACCAAATAGTACCTGTATATGATATAGCCCAACAGTTTATTTTAAAAAAAAATTTTTTCCCCCAAAAATGCCTCTGTGACATCCATGATGACTGCAATTTTGCGCTCTTTTTCCAGCTCTGGTCATCGCGGCACATCCTAATACAAAAAACATGATTCAGATACAACTCACAAGAACATGCAATGCTACAAATTGTAAATTTGTTGGGGGTGGATGTAGGGTAGCCCGGGGTAAAAAGTAGTCATACAAATCTATACATACTCTACATAAGAATAAGGTAGCATCTACTGTTTTGAAAGGGAAATCTATGTTTGAGATGTTTTTTATTAGAAGAATGTTTTTTTCTACAATAGCACCTGCCATTTCCTGTGCTTTTTTATTCAATCATGTATTCCAGCTGAAAAACTGATCTAATTTAAATATGAATATACAATTAACAATTATCAACACACAAAAGGCAGCAGAATGAAATAAATATATTTGATGTTTAAAAAACAAAAATAAAGGATTTTCTATCAACTAAACTATTTTGATATATTTCAGACAAATACAATTAACTGACAAAAAATGTAATATTTTAGTAATGATTTGTGATGTGTTACTTATCATACAAACATAAAGCGATTTCTTAGATGGTATAAAGAATTTATAATTTATTTTGTTAAAAAATAAAAGACAGCTGTGGAGAAACCAGGAGACATGTGGCCCCTACCCACTGTGCACCCTTTGTATATCTGCCCCTCCCAATATTGAAAATTTAAACATTCTGAGCTTTACATCCATGTGATTGGCTATAATGCAATGTGTAGGCGTATTCTATTTCTAGTCACAACTTCTAATCAAGGCATTGGGACTGACCCACATTCAAGTTGAAAATTCCATATTTATGGAATAACAAAATTTTTATCATTAAACTGCAAGCTGAAAATTGCAGATTTATGAAATGGATTAAAATTTTTTTTTCGTAAACGTGCTTAGAATATTAGTTTTAATTTGAAATTATAGCGTCTAGCATGTTTTGAAGAAAAGAATGTCATTAAAACTTTACCATCAATCAATAATTTCTGCTGAAGCATTAGCGAACGTTGTGAGATGTAATGAGTTACTTAGCCAATCAATAATATGAAATTACCAATCTAAATGTTTCATTAATCAATTCAAAATTCCAAAACATGTTTGGTAGCTTATTGTGCCAGGAATCCAGAGGAGACGGAACTAGGGGGGTGCTGCGTTATGGAGAGTAATGTGTGACCGGAAATGGTCTGCTAGTTGGTTGTTACCATGCGCCAGTGATGTTGGGAGTACAGCAAGATGAAAATATTTATGTAATGCATGAATAAAGTTCGGGGTTTGTCGGGTAGTGAAATGACGCAGAACGTGGGTAACCGATAAAAAAAACCATGCCACTCAAAGCGTTGGTGGATGTTACCTGTACAGAGTAAATTGTAGCAGTGCTGAGTGCTTTTCTTCAAAATGAGTTAATTTAATGTCAGGATAGTCCATGAAAAAGAGTAAATTTGTTGACAGAATTTTTTTACTTATACATAGTGTAGACCATAAATTAATGACAATAACACTAAACTACTAAATCCTTTCCTAGTCACTAGGGCTCATAGGGCTGGAGCTTATCCCCAGTTTCTTTAGTTTGAAGCGAATGACAGTTGTACTCTCCCAGACGGGGAAACTAACTGCTTTTTATTTCCTTGTGTTTATATCTCGATTTTTTGCTCCCTTTTTATGCTCTGATGTTGTTTTAATGTGTGACCGTTTTAGACAATTTTATGTGTACATTCAACCTAAACTTCAAGCTAAGTTTGTACTATGTTTGACAATAAATTGAATTGAATTGAAACTAGTACATTGCAGGTTTGTCCCAGCAGTTTGCTGGTACCCATTGATGTCCAAGTCAAAAGAAATCTAACTAAAGATGTTAAATTCATTACTTTACGGAAAACTAAAAAAGTATCATATTTCACCTCAACCAAAGATGTAACGCCTAACGAATATCGTAGTTCTGTTGTGTATCATTTTAAATGCCCTGGCTGTGAATGCGACTATATTGGTAAGACAGACAGGTGCCTTATAACTAAAGTATCTGAACATTCTACTGTCTCTAACAGTGTCATACACAATCATATTGAGTCTTGCGATGCTTTTCAATATATTTTAAAACTTCATAATTTGCCTAACACAATTAAAGATGATTTCATTGTTAATTTCAAATC